CGGGGAAATGTGGCCGGAAAGGTGCGGTTACGAAAAGTTAGGACGCAGAGTTCCTAAACCTTACCTGCGATATATGGCACGCCTTTAAGCAGGCCTGTCTACACAAGCTCTCTAATGATTTGCTTCGCCCTATCCTTTCCTTCGGTCGCGGCTTGAGGGCACACGCCTAGTTCGTTATGTGCTTTTTGGTTTCTGGGCATTGTAAGCGATAAGAATTTGTTGCTAGAAACCACGAGGGCCGAAGACATTTATCATCATAAAGCAAACCCTGCTTCGTCACACCTGTTTCAAGATTCATACCTAGGAAACAAAACAAAGGTCAGCCCGCTTTGCTCTCAAGTAATCTTTCGACAGTTGGTGGAGCGCGACCAGAACTTCTTTCTCAGGGGAGGGGGGGTTGTTTTAGGAGCCCTTCGTCCTAATCTGCACACAAAGGCCCTCAGCTCCTACGCACCTTTCCGGCTACATTTCCCCGTAGAATGGCTTCCAGGTACCCCAGCGTCAAGGAGAATCCTCTCAGGAGGCCTTTTGATTATTGATTTTCGCTCTTTTGGCGAGAGCCCTGCTAGCCATTTGCGTGCCACGGGGAGATATGGCCGGAAAGGTGGGATTAGGACACCCAAACGCCGCAAACTGCCATAGGGCCGAATAACGTCAAACCCTGAAGGTCAAGGCTTTTGCGGCTAGCACAAAGCCGCCGCAAAACACAAGATCCCCGTGCTCCCCCAAACCAAAAAAAACAACACCTTCCCGACGCACATGGCCCCTACATAAATTGCTTTAGAGGTCACTAGCCTCAAATGCTGAACGGCCGCCACCTGCTGCTATGCCCTGCCTCCACGCGTCTCCCAAATGCAAGGCTCCGACAAGGGGCTGCGGGGGCGATGAAAAAAACAAACAGGAATTGCTGAGCGACCCCTTGTTAGGACGCAGGGCTCCTAAACGTCTTCCGCCAGCGCACTGGCAGGCCTTCTACAGAAAAACGCAAACACACACAAATTGGAGCTAAAACCACGGCTTTTGTCCAGAATAATATCCGAGAAACTAAAGCCGGAAAAAAACTTATCAAAACCAAGTGCAGGCCAACACGAAAGCCCTCTTGGAAGGACCCAATTCCTTTTCATTCTGTCTTTGGCTCCATGGGACGCTCTTGGTTTTGATTAGACTTCTTACCCGTTCTTCTCTCGGAAAGAGTTCTAGACAAAAGCCGTGGTTGTAAGCTTCGCGTTTGTCTATGTGTATGTGCGTGTGTACACGTGCGCGCGTGTGTGTGTTTGCGATTTTTACAGACTCTATTGGGCAAAAGGTCGCCTCAGCAAAAACAATTTTACAGCAATACTACAAACGCGCACTCGCACTCGGGCGCACTTGTAGTATGTTACAACAATGCACCAAACAATACCCCAAGGGAACAACTGCAAATAACTAATTCCCTTAGAAATACAACAAGCGCTATGAAAAAAAATAAGTAAATTCCACATTACACAGAATTCAAATAGCTCTTTAACTCCCTCTAGCTAAAAGGGTAATTATACATCATACCCATTTTCCAACCCTGCCAAAACAATATTCCTCATCAATATCCCAAACAAGACCTACACACATTCCCTAACACCCAATCATTAATCACCAATCATAATTCCTTCTTTAGAAAACATAAAACCCTTCACTTATCTAAAAATACACATCAAAAACAATCATCAATACAAAAAACACCACCACCATAAATATGCAACAGTTCAATATCTATAATTACAAAAAATCCGATCTTAATATAATATATCCAATAATTAAAATTATATATATATATATATAATATTATAAAATCGAAAATATAACGAACCATAATAACATATTATAAAATTAGAAAGGTGTTTTTGTACAAAAAAGAACATATTATATAAATAATTAAGGATATTATTATAATCAATATATTATATCAATAAAGAATGTATTTCTTAAAATGTATCCCTAAAATATATATCTTAAAGACACATTAAATAAATCCCATCAAATCAATCACCATTTGATCTAACAACAAAAACATGTTTTTTCTTTATCCCAACTCAAATCCTACCCACTGTAGAATTTTCCTCATTTCACAACATATCAGTATTGTCTTGCTTCAAAAACACACATACTTTGTTGATTCAGTACAATGAAAAACAGTATTTGGGCCCGCTTTGCTCTCAAATAATCTTTCGACAGTTGGTGGAGCGCGACCAGAACTTCTTTCTCAGGGGAGGGGGGGTTGTTTTAGGAGCCCTTCGTCCTAATCTGCACACAAAGGCCCTCAGCTCCTACGCACCTTTCCGGCTACATTTCCCCGTAGAGTGGCTTCCAGGTTCTGAACCCCAGCGTCAAGGAGAATCCTCTCAGGAGGCCTTTTGATTATTGATTTTCGCTCTTTTGGCGAGAGCCCTGCTAGCCATTTGCGTGCCACGGGGAGATATGGCCGGAAAGGTGGGATTAGGACACCCAAACGCCGCAAACTGCCATAGGGCCGAATAACGTCAAACCCTGAAGGTCAAGGCTTTTGCGGCTAGCACAAAGCCGCCGCAAAACACAAGATCCCCGTGCTCCCCCAAACCAAAAAAAACAACACCTTCCCGACGTACATGGCCCCTACATAAATTGCTTTAGAGGTCACTAGCCTCAAATGCTGAACGGCCGCCACCTGCTGCTATGCCCTGCCTCCACGCGTCTCCCAAATGCAAGGCTCCGACAAGGGGCTGCGGGGGCGATGAAAAAAACCAACAGGAATTGCTGAGCGACCCCTTGTTAGGACGCAGGGCTCCTAAACGTCTTCCGCCAGCGCACTGGCAGGCCCTCTACAGAAAAACGCAAACACACACAAATTGGAGCTAAAACCACGGCTTTTATCCAGAATAATATCCGAGAAACTAAAGCCGGAAAAAAACTTATCAAAACCAAGTGCAGGCCAACACGAAAGCCCTCTTGGAAGGACCCAATTCCTTTTCATTCTGTCTTTGGCTCCATGGGACGCTCTTGGTTTTGATCAGACTTCTTACCCGTTCTTCTCTCGGAAAGAGTTCTAGACAAAAGCCGTGGTTGCAAGCTTCGCGTTTGTCTATGTGTGTGTGCGTGTGTATACGTGCGCGCGTGTGTGTGTTTGCGATTTTTACAGACTCTATTGGGCAAAAGGTCGCCTCAGCAAAAACAATTTTACAGCAATACTACAAACGCGCACTCGCACTCGGGCGCACTTGTAGTATGTTACAACAATGCACCAAACAATACCCCAAGGGAACAACTGCAAATAACTAATTCCCTTAGAAATACAACAAGCGCTATGAAAAAAAAATAAGTAAATTCCACATTACACAGAATTCAAATAGCTCTTTAACTCCCTCTAGCTAAAAGGGTAATTATACATCATACCCATTTTCCAACCCTGCCAAAACAATATTCCTCATCAATATCCCAAACAAGACCTACACATATTCCCTAACACCCAATCATTAATCACCAATCATAATTCCTTCTTTAGAAAACATAAAACCCTTCACTTATCTAAAAATACACATCAAAAACAATCATCAATACAAAAAACACCACCACCATAAATATGCAGCAGTTCAATATCTATAATTACAAAAAATCCGATCTTAATATAATATATCCAATAATTAAAATTATATATATATATATAATATTATAAAATCGAAAATATAACGAACCATAATAACATATTATAAAATTAGAAAAGTGTTTTTGTACAAAAAAGAACATATTATATAAATAATTAAGGATATTATTATAATCAATATATTATATCAATAAAGAATGTATTTCTTAAAATGTATCCCTAAAATATATGTCTTAAAGACACATTAAATAAATCCCATCAAATCAATCACCATTTGATCTAACAACAAAAACATGTTTTTTCTTTATCCCAACTCAAATCCTACCCACTGTAGAATTTTCCTCAAATCACAACCATCATATTGTCTTTAACCAAAAACACACATACTTTGTGATTCAGTACAATGAAATAACAGTATTTGGGCAATATTATTTTAGTTGTGAGGCACGCCAGTGACTTTTGCCTGAAAAAGCAGAGTTGCCACATGTCCCGGATGACTTGTTCAAGAGAAGATTGGTAAGGGTATTGCCCAGCTCCAAAAACGAGTCGCGGAGTCCCGCAGGGGGTAAAGCCAACTTAAGCCAAGGCCGATTTTGGGGATCCGAGAAACCCCATCCTCAAGTGAGGGCCCGGCCAAGGACGTGCACTCCTTGAAGGCTTTGCTCTCCTCCAGGTGAAAACCATCCCAAAAGGTCCCTTGGTACCTTCAAAGGAGGCACTGAACGACTGCTTCTTACCCCCCAGAAGCCAGCCTGGGTACAAAGGGACCCTCTGGGCGTGGGAATGAAAGAACGTGTTTCTTAGGTGCGAAATGGATTTCGTCCAGTATGGGGTCCAAAACGGCGCTGAAAAAAACATATCCTGGGAACGCAGCAAGTGCTCCATGTGGAAAGGAATGGGACGTAAATGGAACCGCACTCTGGTTTTCACAACGTTGCACAGAAGTCAGAACACAAGCAACACCTAGCCCCAACACAGAACGAGCCGAATGAGAAACCCTCTCACGGGCTCCGGCATTGCTAATTTACTGCGTGTTTCACTTTCTTAGACTTGGCCTGCTAGCATTAACCAGCTGAAAATACTTAAGGCTTACCACTTTTGTCAAACAGCCTCCTGCACGCCGTACCTTGCGACAAATTTCATCACTGCGGCGCCCTCCAAATGCGGGCATGGCACATTTGCAATTTGAGACCTGTTTCACGATGTCGCCTTCGCCCATGCTATTCGTCTTCAATCCAGCCGCATCCAGTGTCTTGTCAGGAGCAATTGACATTCCACCCACCAGCATGGCAAGCGGCACAATTGGCATTGAAGACCTGTTCTCCGGTGCGTAAATCTCCCAGAATCTGCTTCAACAGTGCCTCGGTTTCACAAGCCCTCACTCTGGAAGCTATGGGATCTTGTGGCTGGCGAGGAGGTCCTTCTTATCCGCATCACTGATGCTGTCGGTTCTGCGCATTGCGATATCATAGCATTTCTTCTCGGACTTCACCTTTGCGCGAAGCTCCGGGTGTCCTGCGAACTTGTCCCATCAATGGGCGCAAGGGACATACTCCAAGTCCTCCGAGGCGACCTCCTCGCAAGGCTTTGCGTTGCCCCTCGTTATGCGCAAGATGCGCGTTCAACAGCTCGTTTGGCTCTCCATGCGCAAGAAACTGCGGGCCGGGCACCAGCTTTGCACGTGCCATGTCCCGAGCTGGGAGGGTTGTGTGCACACCTTCTGGCATGACTTGCAGGAGGCGGCATCTGTGATGTCGCGGCAGTGGACAAAAACATTGGAGATGGAGATGCTGGTTTTGGCTGCTTTTTGTGGCTCTCTTGGCTTGGGTGAAATCGATTTGGAATTGGAAGACAGGCTGCTGCAGCCACCGTCACTGCGATCAAGGCAAAGATGGCCATGACACTTTGCTCACGGCTGGAGATTGAAGTCTGTTCTGGCCGCCAGAAAGGTTTATGAAGCGGAGGTTGGAGCAGAGAGGGCAACTTAAATTCCGAGCCTGAGCACTGAGGTTCGATGCACCAAGTGGTTGGTTCCAGTGAGGGGTGATGTCCTGACAACAAAACATGTGGGTTGGCTATCTTCCGGTAGAATTTCCTGGCGCCGGTTTCTCAGAGAGGCTCTTTGCAAAATCATTCCCCTTCACACCAACGGGCACGATGACAAGAGACCTCAAGTCCACTTGAAATAGCATAAGCCGTCCTGCACCAACCTTTAGCCAGTCCCAACCAACCCAACCGCCCCAACCAACCCAACCAACCCAACCAACCCAACCAACCCAACCAACCCTTGGCATGGACCCAAGACCACCTCAAACCCCCCAAACCAACCGCCTGAAAAAGCCACCCACCAACCCAACAGCCACCTCAATCCCCCCACAAAGCTTCAAGGGGCAGGGTACTTAGTAGGTTAGTAACCATGGTTATAACGCACTGAACGGAGACTTGTGACCATGGCTTTGGTTATCTCACCAGGGTTACCAACCACTTACCTGACGTACCCTTCATCGATCGCCCCTTGAAGAAACCCGGCAAATACTCCTCGTTGCGGAGGCGCCACAGCACCTTGTCCACCGCATCCTCCGACTTCCGGAAGTCCTGCGCGGGTGAATGGACGTGATTTTGCTGACCCCGTGTTCATCAACCCCAGCGTTTGTCATACTGTGAATGGTTGCGAAATCCATTTCGCACCACCCTTCAGCAACCCTGGAATGATTTCGATCCCCCTGTAAATACCAACAAACCATGGCTTCTCATGGTTTCAAAGTGGTGCGAAATGGATTTCGCCCTAGTTGTTGGAGGGGAAGACCCCCCTATGAATAAACTGGGGTTGATTAATACGGGGTCAGCATTATATACTCTAAAAATGGGGGGGGGGTTCTGGGTTGAGGGGTGTGGCAATTGCTTTGGAGTCTGCCTTGCAACCATTTCTGTCCCTCTCACAAGAAGGCAGGGTAGGCATGCTGCTTCCCGCCAAAGAAAGCACCTGTGCGAAACGGCAGGGAATGAGAAATGGAATGACTCCAATAAATTCCATCCATTTCCGATCTAGGTCCTCAAATTTGGGGAACCCCCCCCCAAAAAAAGGATGAAAGGGCACTACTGGAACACCTAGCTGTGGTTTCCTTTCTTCGGGAATCCCCACCTCCGGTTCCTTCCACTTCTCCTTCCCCGCTTTCGGTCACCTGGCGATTGCCACCTCCCACCTCCCACCTCTGCCATGACGGAGGTGATGGACTCCCGGAGCTTCTCCTGCGAACATTTTTCTCCAAACATGCGGTGGATGGTGGCGACATCCATGCCACGCACCACCCTTCAGAAACCCTCGAACGATGATTCCCCAACGCAAATACCAGCGCTATGGTTTCCGCCATGGTTTCAAAGTGGTGCGAAGTGGATTTCGCAACCATCCACAGTATGCCCAGAGGGTTCTTGGGTAAAAGGGACCTGTCTGGGTTGTAACCCTCTCCCAAGCATGGGGCGAGTCTCCTTCTGACCCTTTAAAAATGGTTGGTCATTACCCTAAATAATGGGGTCAGACCTATTTTGATTCGGGTCATGGAGACTCCAGGCAGTGCTCCTGTGCGAGCCATGGATGGTTGGTCATTACCCTAAATAATGGGGTCAGACCTATTTTGATTCGGGTCATGCAGACTCCAGGCAGTGCTCCTGTGTGAGCCAAGTTGGATTCGAATGGACCTTGGAGGGCGCTGGAAACCACATCTTGCTGGTGCGATAGGCAGGGAAGGAGAATGAACAGGATTTGGGGATTCCCGAATAAAGGAAACCATAGGAATGGATGGAATCTATAGGGAATCATTTCATTTCTCATTCCCTGCCTATCGCACCAGCAAGTTGTTTCCCTTGTCTAACATGGGCTTGAAGCATGAATTTACAAAGGTAGCGCGCCAAAGCTATTTCCAAAGCCTTTGGTTCACCCAGGAAATCCATGTAACATTGAGGATCCATCCAGAAGCCACACATTCACACAAACAAAGTCGATCCTCATTTTCTCCCATAGGCGTCCCCCTAAATGGCAAGGGGGTCCTTTTGTTCTCCCTTTAACTAAATCAGATCCACGAGTCCTTTCTAGGGATTGTGTTCTCTTTGGTTTCCCCCCAAAAAAAAGAGGCTTCTCAATAGAAAAGACGAGCTGACCATTGGAGTCACAATCAAAACCCGGTATTAAAATGCTCGACCCAGAACCATCAATGTAAAGAATTGAGAAGGCGGATATGCACAGCTATTTATGGTTGGGATTGTCCCTTACTAACCTTCATCTACCCGAATCGGTTTTGATTGTGGCTCATTTGAGACAACACCAACTTTTCTCGTGGCAACGTGTGTCCTTCATGGCCTTGCAGTACTGCTGGATCTTTGAGTTCGTCGCCTCCGGAGCTTCTTACGTACAAATCGAGTGTTTTTTTCATAGGCATTGGACCCCTCAAATTGGTGGTTCCTTGAGTTCCTTCAAGGCCGCTCCAAGGGGGACCGCGAAAGATAGAAGAGCTCCAGCAAACCTGTCAAGACAAAAGGTGTGGGGGGAGCAATGATTCAAGAGGGGGAATCCTTCAAAATTTATTGTACACCAGGTCAGGTTCCAACTTCCTAACTCCTGCACATTGCAAGCAATTGACCTATGAGTCGCGCTAAGGGGTGGAACCCATCAGAAGTTCCCTTGTCAGGTTTCATGTTAGTTGTTGGACAATTAGCACGTGTGAAAAGCAAACACACACACACACAATGAGGCATTCCTTCCGACACAACATGCACAACACGAGACGCGCGACCCGTCCAACACAAGCTCTTGGGCCTTCTATTGGTACTCAACAGCCGTCCATTAACAGGGAACCTTACATTATACACCTGAACATTGCCTTGTATGTAAATGGTGGTTTCCCATTATTTTGGTGGAAAAAACCATGTTTCAAATGGTTGCAAAATGTATCTTTTAAGGAGACGTAGATGAAAATTCCACGTGATGCAGTCGAGGCCTTGAAAGACAGTCGGCCTCCTAAGTGGCCCTGCCTGATCCGCTTGCGTCCAGCCGAGCCAGTCAGTGACATCATGGCCTCAAAGCAGCGGCCATTCGGTTTCCCTCCAATTGGTGGTTTGGAGCCGGGTGGTTTCGTGGTTAAGGAGGGGTAAACTAAACCCCATTTACCCTCTACAAGAACCAGGGGCCCCTTCAAATCCGAATCCAAAGCAACCCAAACCACCAGTTAGGGGGTACCTGAGCCACGATTGCGCGAAAAAAACCCTATCAGTTTGTCTAAACTGACGCCGAGCGGAAGGCTGTACTTCTTTGGCGGCGGCCACTTGTCCAGCAGATGGGTCTGGTTGATCACCTGCCGGAGTGAGTTTTCTGAACGGATCTCAGTTCAGGGTCCAAGCTTCTTCTTCTCCTTTTCCGTTTTTTGGGGGCAAGCGGGAAGTTGCAATTGACAACCTCCCTCTAACCATGAGACGAAGTTCAAACACAGAAGTGTGGCTGGCACAAAGACATCCAAAAAGACAACTGCGTGAGCCCGTGCGCATGTCTGCGAAAATCTCTGCACAATAATGTTCTGTGCAAGTTGCTCTGCGCAAGTTACTTTGAGTGTCTTTGCACGAGTGCTCTGCGCAAGTTGCTCTGTGCTGTGCAGGTCTGCGCTTCGCTCTCCGCAATTGCTCTGTAAAAAAATCTTTGCGAGGTGCGATTTCCAGGCCCCCGGTACCATGCAATTAGAAGTTGCCATTCTCCAGCCGGAGCAACGAGAACGCACATTGCGTACTACAACAACATGCGCAAGAGCTGTTAGGCAAGCGCGCGCCACAGAAACACACCACACCGATCGCTGCAGTGTTGAGCCACGAACTGCGCAATCGTAAAAATACCCCGCGCTTCTTGCACATCAACGATCCCCGCAAAGGGTTGGTCTGCTGACCGCAACATCTCGCGCACGCCCCAGAGGGTCGTGCGGGCGCCGCAGATTAGGTTTTGGATGTCCACCACGTCGATCCTCGCAAAGGGTTGCGCGGGCGCGGGCACCGTTTTTCTCCCAAGCGGCCACCGGAGCACCGGAGTCCACCATCCAGTCGAGCGCAAAGCGCGCGCCGCCAAGCGCGCTCGCGCCTTCGGGGTGTACCAATCGTTCAGCAGGAACCAGGCCACCCGGAAGCACCGCACGAAGCTGCGCATGGGCCTTGATACTGCCGCCCGGTGTTTTGTTTTTTTTTTGCCAAACCGACTCGACGGGGGCAGTTTCTACAAATCGGGGCTGTCCTCAGATCCCCCGCTAAACGTTTAACTTTTAGTGGGTCAAGTGGAAACCTCCACTAAAGACTAAAATGCTGAAAAGCTAAGGGGACGGCTGGGAGCCACCAAGTCAAGTTCTGACATGGTCGCCGGAGACAGCTTGTAGAAGCTCGCGGCCACAGCTGGGCGAAAGAAGCGTATTTTGGTTGGACACATGTTCGCAAAAGATCCAAAGAAAAAGGGTACCGCCCAACGCTTTGTAGGCCCAGTTGTAGAAACACTGGTGCTTGCTTCAGACCAGGGTCCGACAGGGGCGGGTGTTTACTAGGGAACCTGTCAAACACATGGTGCTTCTTTTTACGAGTTTCCTTTGACGCATGTTCCAAGATCCTAACTTAAAACAGACAGCACCCAAAAGCCAAGTGAGTCATCAAACACTTCTGGTCTGTTTCCAAAACCTTCTGGTGCCGCTGGACTTTGTCCATCCGCACCATGGTTCTGCAAATTGTACACATCCAAAACCTATAAATGCTTCTCAAACTGTTGGTTTCCTCTTGCCTTCCCTCCAAAGCGAAAAGGGAGGGGTCCTCTATCTATTGTGAGTTTCCGGAAACTCTCAGGTGTTTCACAGTGTTCTTCAGGTGGGTGCGCATCCTTTTTTAGGGGACCCAGACTGGATTTCGGTTCTTGTGTTGGCCTCTCTAAAACCGCCGCAAAAGGGCTTCGTCCTCCAAAAAACATCCTGGTTCTCTGTAAAACCGCCGCAAAAAGGGCTTCGTCCTCGGAAGGGGGGGGGGGGGGAAACCTAAAAATAAATAAAATCGTTCTGGGGGTGGGGAAAAAAACACAAACAAAACGGGGATCCGCCCAGTGTCCGGGCTCCCGGGCCAGCCCTTGGGGCTGAGCCGCACCTCGAAAGCCTCTTGAGAGGTGCCTAGGAGGTTTTCGCCGACAGATTTGACGTGCCAGGCCTCCGTTCGCCTTCAGCCTGGACTTTTAGGGAACCCCGTGGGTGGTTTGCAGCTCTTTCTTTTTGTGTTTTGCTCTGTTTGTTTGGTGTTCAGGGGTACCTGGAGTCTGCTTCTGACCCTTTAAACATGGGGTCATGACCCCTTTCTTTTGGGTAATGACTTAATTTTTTAAGGGTCATGGAGACTCCAGGTGTGTTTCGGGGGTTTAAAGGGAAACCGAGAGGAAGCCCACCATTTCTGGGGTAGATGCCCAGTAAATTTCCATTGGAAAGAAAGGGCCGCCTTTTTTGGTTGGTTGACTTAGGGGAACCCTTCCCGAAAAAGAGGAAAAAAGGGCACCGCTGGGCAACTGGCTTCTCTCTTTGCTTCTTTTTAGGGACCCTTTGGTGGAAATAATTTAGGTGGGTCCCCATTAAAACTCACAGCCATTTGCTTTCTTTGTTCCAAGGGTTGTTTTTGGTGCCAGCCTTTTGGAGCCCGTGCGGTTGCCATGCAAGTTGCAAGAGCGATTTCAAAAAAGGGGGGGGGGACTGACAACGTCACCGCAGCAACGGCCCAAGCGCGGACGGGAAAAGGATAGCGGGCGTGTAACAAGGAGATCGGGCACCGCCCTGGGTCTCACGGGATCCCGTTCCAGGCACTCCTGAGAGGGTTTGCTCGTAGGCAGAGCTGCATAGCCCTCCCTTGTCGGTTCACTCATCTCTCAGTCGTTTGTGGCACTCAAGCTCTTGAGCGCTGGCTGTTCAGCCGCGCAGATAAAGTCGCGATGCCTGGTGAATGGTCGCTGGCACGTTCAGAGTGCATGAAGACAGCGTGAACCGTTTGGGAACTGCTCTGGCGTGGCGGCGCGCTGGGATCACGCATGAAGACGGGCGTGAAACGCTTTTTGAGCTGCCTACGACCCCCACGCAGGCCAAATGAACTGGTGGCAGCGTCCTGGGCTCTTGCTGCCTTGTTTTTCATTCCCCGGGCTTTACAGTTTTGGCTTGGGTTGTATGCCCAACCCAACTCAAAGGTCACGAGTCTCCCTTGCAGGCCGCAGCCAGCAAATTTGGCCAACAACATCAAGCTCCTACCGGGGAAAGACCTTGTGTTTGGGCGCCATGATCTCAGCATCCAGATTGCTCCAACGTATGTGCCCCATTGTGGTGCGGTGCAGTACATGCAGATGCGGGCGCAAAAACAAATCAGGGCTATTGGCACCCATGAGTCACTGAAAATCGGGTTCCCTTCGCTACCTTTGTTTCCCTTCCAGGCCTTCCAAGCGGATTCCTGAAATACAACCAATACAACCAAAATCCTGCACCTGGGATGGGATGAACGTGCCTGGCGCGGATTCTGTCGGGCCCCGATCCAAGTTCATGCCCCACTAGGATTGGAAGGAGTACCTGAACCCTCAAAATTCCCTTAAACAAAATGTTATAATAAATAGCCCCAAAATTATGGGGTGAATTCCCATTTTTTCTGGGTAGTTTGAGGGTCCAAGTATAGCTGTTCCTGGCTTCCCTAACCTGAAATTGTCGGATGAGCTTTTCCGAGGCTTCCCTAACCTCAACCTGTGTGGGATCATGAATGTTTTTTTCTATTTCATGGCTTCCCCAAAACTCTCAAATTGTGGGATTCCATTGTTGTCGGTCGAATTCGACAAATCGTTGAAGCAGTTGGATCCGTCAGTGACGAATTCGGCCAGGGCGCAGTTGAACTTGCGGAACTCCTTCATGCTGGGCGTCCGGGGGTTGGGATTCCTCGATCGAATCCGCTTTTCGATCGGATCGACAAACACGCAGATGAAACGGAGGAAACATTTTGATGTTTCATCCACGGGCATGCTGTTTGTGTAATTGTCCCAAACCAAGCTCTATGCTGCCTTTGGCCACAAACTGGTCGGGGGTTAAAGAGACCATCTTGGACCCTTCTTCGAAGGGGAGGGTGTCTTAGGAAGGGCTCTGAAAACCAAAGATTGTACACAGCTTTCAGGCAAGAGCGAGCTATTCCTTCTTCGTATCGGACACCAGAAATATGGAGGCACAAGTACTGTAGATGCCAACGCAAGTTCGAGATGGAGGATAAATCATCTTTGAGGGACGCACATGCGCCAAGGATGTCTTTTGATGTGGCAAATGGTCTTCATGTCGCTTGAGAAGCCAGAGCAATCTCAGTTCCCCAAAAAAAGCAACGGCAGTACCCAATGAAGCCCAAAACACCAAGGGCCATTTAAGAGTACCTGGAGACTCCACGACCCTTTAAAAATGGGGTCATGGCCCCTTTATTTTGGGTACTGACCCCATTTATAAAGGGTCATGGAGAGACTAGGTAGGTTCTATACTGGTTATGGGGCTTACAGCACAGGCCCAGCATGCTGTAGACCCAAGAGTCAATGGGTTTTGGGTTGGTCTTGCGAAAGGGGGCCTTTCGCTGTGCATGTCCGTGGTTTACCCTGATTGTTCGGAGCATGAATTCCATCAGCTGTCTTTCGTAAGCCAACGCACCCTACAAGGACACGTCTTTGGCAATCTGGGATGGGACCCTTTTCGGGTTCGTGTTCAAACACATGAGGAATCCAGTGCTGGGGTGGGACATTGGATGACGGGGAGTGGCGATCATACTATAGAAGTAGCAAAGAAAGGATTCTACAAACACACGGATTCACGCCCGCACGCGCACCGGCCACAAATACTCCTCAGGCTGCGGCCAGTTTTCAGGGATCGACACCTGCGACCGTCGAACCCTTGTAGGCATTGGCAAGTAACCCTGAAGTCGCAAATTCCCAAAAGGGCGCTTTTTCTCGCAACTCAAGGTGATCACCCTTGGCTCCCCGACCTTAACATAAAAGACTCAGGTCGGTGTTCGGCACGCGTCCAAACCACTTAGACCCTTGAAATATGATTTTGCCTTTTGAAACTAAACCACCTAGACCCTTGAAATGACATCTTATACCAGCTGCCCGTTCCTACGCGAGACCCATGGACCCAGCCGGCCTTTCCGCCCACGCCGGTGGGATTCTTTGCCCAAGGCCTCGGATCTCGTCTCCAGCCCAAGGACCCTTGCGGCTTGCCAGGTGCACTGAGGCTGCGGCGCTTTGAGGGGGGGGGGGTGAAAGCCAAGTCCAAAAAGGGAATTAACTCGAAGGGCCCTCTATCGAATGGGAATTGCTCTTGGGGGCCAAATCCGAAGGGCAGAAGTTGGTGCCACTGAACATATGGGAGCATTGAACAGAGAAGCCCTGGAACACAAAGCAGGGATGCAACTCAGAAAATGCCATCTCGCTGCCAGCAACTCCCAGCCCGACGAACAATGCTTGAAAGCTGAAGACAATGGGCCGAAGGGTACACCGCGGTGAAAGTGGCAGATGGCGCTATTGATGCGCGCAAGTAACAAAAAAATACCTGGAGTCTCCATGACCCTTTCAAACAGGTCCCTGACCTCATTTTTTTTACGGTAATGACCAACCATGTTTAAAGGGTCAGAAGGAGACTCTAGGCACACACGCCTACACACACACACACCTCGCCAAGAGCGCACGTCATCTTGGCCCTTGCCACAGCTCTCTCCAAAAAGGTGCCTTGACTTGCAATTCCCCCGAGCAACTGGATGTGAGGAGGGTATGCGGCATGGATGCCTATGTTGTATCAATATCTGACCAAAACAAGTGAGGTGCTAGAGAGTACCCTTGGATGTGGCGAAATTGAAGCTTTGCAACCAGTGCTGCCGTCAACATCATCAATTTTACAGCGTTGGCTGGCAGGTGTCCTCATTGCTCAATCAGGACTTGTCATGCTGCTAAGAACGGTTCAAAAACACGCAAAGCAAGTGCCATCCCCTAAAATGGGTATCCTCCAATTATATCTTCGTCTAAACAAACAACACACGGAAGGGGCTGGGGATAGACCCCCCTCCTAAGCATCATTTTTGGGAAGGCACCGGGAGTCCTTAAGCTCACACAACTCTCCGACGTCTGGACGCACATCACGCCGGTGAAATAAAGCTATCGGCCATGTGTAAACCATGGCTTGCCATGTTTCTTTGAAGACATGGACAAAACCCAAAAAGGCCGGTGGTAGGCGGTGTTATCCCACAATGGGGTTCAGTGATCCCTGCAGGATTTCGTCATAGATTAATTCTTCCCTTTCGAACAACTTTCCCCACAGGTCACAGTATGCTGGCCTGTCAAGTTCAAGCGGATTCACCTGCACCCTTTCGGGAGAAACTGGAACTTCTGAGCTCTCTCCCGGGTGAGCTTCAGAGCCACAGCCACCAGGCGTTTGACCTAGTTATGCAAGAAAGGGCCCGTCTCCCCAAGCGCTTTACACTTGATGTTCACCTAAGGTGAGAGCCACTGGCTATGGCTGCTATGGCGTGCTATGGCTCATCTGAAGAGGCGTACCATGTGAATCCTCGCATCCTGAGGAAATGAAGAAACAGTGTCCGCGTCGGGACGCGGCCCCGGAATGCTAGTAAAGGACTCCCAGAAATCAGTGGGCCAAATTCTTTCGCAACAAAGGGGGCTTGATGCAGGAATGCTTCTGACAACAGTTCTAACAACCACCTAGAATATCTACCCACGCGGGTGTTTCTCAACATGGTGGTGTGAAATGGTTGGGTTTCCTCTTGGTTGCCCGGCAGAACCACGCACAAATACCGCCGCTTGGAGAAATCCCCCAACAGGCGTCCCGATATTTCTCCTTTCAACCTCACTCCAAAAGTATGATTGGTTCAAAACGTGATGTAAAAAAACCAACTAGCAGGGCAATTGGGTTAAATACTGATCTTTAAAGCCCACCAGCAGGGGAATTGGGTTAAATACTGATCTTTAAAGCCCACCAGCAGGGGAATTGGCTTCGGAATTGGGTTAAATACTGATCTTTAAAGCCCACCAGCAGGGGAATTGGGTTAAATACTGATCTTTAAAGCCCACCAGCAGGGGAATTGGGTTAAACACTGATCTTTAAAGCCCACCAGTAGGGGAATTGGGTTACATACTGATCTTTAAAGCCCACCAGCAGGGGAATTGGGTTAAATACTGATCTTTAAAGCCCACCAGCAGGGGAATTGGGTTAAACACTGATCTTTAAAGCCCACCAGCAGGGGAATTGGGTTAAATACTGATCTTTAAAGCCCACCAGCAGGGGAATTGGGTTAAATACTGATCTTTAAAGCCCACCAGCAGGGGAATTGGGTTAAATACTGATCTTTAAAGCCCACCAGCAGGGGAATTGGGTTAAATACTGATCTTTAAAGCCCACCAGCAGGGGAATTGGGTTAAATACTGATCTTTAAAGCCCACCAGCAGGGGAATTGGGTTAAATACTGATCTTTAAAGCCCACCAGCAGGGGAATTGGGTTAAATACTGATCTTTAAAGCCCACCAACAGGGGAATTGGGTTAAATACTGATCTTTAAAGCCCACCAGCAGGGGAATTGGGCTAAATACTGATCTTTAAAGCCCAGCAGGGGAATTGGGTTAAATACTGATCTTTAAAGCCCACCAGCAGGGGAGTTGGGTTAAATACTGATCTTTAAAGCCCACCAGCAGGGGAATTGGGTTAAATACTGATCTTTAAAGCCCACCAGCAGGGGAATTGGGTTAAATACTGATCTTTATAGCCCACCAGCAGGGGAATTGGGTTAAATACTGATCTTTAAAGCCCAGCAGGGGAATTGGGTTAAATACTGATCTTTAAAGCCCACCAGCAGGGGAATTGGGTTACATACTGATCTTTAAAGCCCACCAGCAGGGGAATTGGGTTAAGCACTGATCTTTAAAGCCCACCAGCAGGGGAATTGGGTTAAATACTGATCTTTAAAGCCCACCAGCAGGGGAATTGGGTTAAGCACTGATCTTTAAAGCCCACCAGCAGGGGAATTCGCAAATAATTGCAGGGCAGCCTTTCTCAAGCAAAGCTTTCTCTGTCGCCCTGAGGCTGAGGCCTGATCCCGCGAAGCACAAGCCTCAGGGCTTCGGGACTCTCGAGGTGAGTCGGACGATTCCCCGTCCACTTTCTGGGTCACCTGACAAACTGATGGACCTGGACCAAATGCTGCAGAACATGCATGAATCCCAATAAATACTCTCCACCAACTGAAGGTCCATCCACCGCGTGGTTCTGCAAATTAACTATTCCCGCAAAAACTAAGGAAAGGGCGTTGGGAGACTCCGCTGGTCGGGTTCCAGGAGAATCTGACTTGCTTGTGCGATAAATAGGGAATGATCCAGGAATTGGGGATGAACCAGAAAGTGATTCCCTTGAAAGGAAACCATACTGTGGATGGACGAAATCCATTTCGCACACTTTGAGACCATGGTTGAACCCATAACGTTTGTTGGTATTTACGTTGGGGAATCGACTCATTCCAGGGTTCTCAAGGGTGGTGCGTTGCATGGATTTCGCAACTATCCACAGTAGGGGCTGGCCTCATTCCCTGCCCATCGAAGCTCGCACGGTGAGCACGCAGAGTTTGGACCCAGCTCGGGCAACCCGGCTCGCTGTCTGAATGCCGGCCGGACCTTGAGAGGGCTGAGAGGACGAAAAGGAAGTGTCCTCATAAGTCATAAATCAAAACCCGGTATTGAAATGGTCAACCCCCAGAACCATGTAAAGACATAAGAAGGCGGATATCCGAAGCTATTTATGGTTGGGATTGTCCCTTACTAACCTTCATGTACCCGGGTTTTGATTGTGGCTCACATGCGAAGTGATCTTTTTGCACCAATGATGCACACCACTCACTTCCTGAGTGGATGGGCCAACAAAAGTAACCAAACTGTTTGTTTACCACTAAAATAGCTAGGTCCTCCAGTAGAGAGGATAGAATAAGGGTACCCACTTTTTTCTGTAGTCTATTTTGGCAGGGGAACCCTCCCCCCAAAAAAGAAGCGTTAACAGGGCACTACTGGGGGACCTAGACTGAAATGGTCTTCCCAAGCAGTTTGAAGTCCAGGAACTCAAGGAGTGAGACCAGGACACATCCAAGTTTCGTCGACTCAATCAGCACCAAAACTCCGCAGCCACGTTCAAAGGAGCATTTTTGGGGGGCCATTTGGGTAAGGCTTTTACCCTCTTGATGGAACGTAAGCAAAAGGACCAAAACCCATGAGACAACCTCATATCTATTTGGGTCTGTCTTTGAGGATACCCTGTTTGGGGTTGGTTTAAAGGGAAACCAAAAGAACACCCAGCCACTTCGAGGAGTCCCCTAAACACGGAGATGCAGACACCGCAGACACGACGCAGGAGAGTAGAACGAGGCAATGACCGATCGGACTGGCCCGGCCAGCGCTAAACAAACTTAATCATTTTGAACAAGCGGAACTCGTTGTAATAATACTCTGACTACAAGTACCTCAGATGCCTTTAATGAGGGGGGCTCTATCCCAAGATAAGGTCAGGATAAGCCGGCGTTTAAAAGGGATAGCCCCCCTCCCATAGCCCCCCTTAGGGTTCCATAAGCATATTCATTTGCAAGGGATCCCCAAGAAAACCACCTACCTCATGGTGAGCTCGTTTTACCCCCACACGAGCAGCATACAACCGACAGATCCGGAGCGACCCCCCGCCCTAGTCGCCATGAAACTCAACCCAAAAAAGCGCAAAAAATACTACCCTACCCAGTGCTTCCAGTTACCGTTTTCGTAGGTTACCAGGCGAAACCATCATTCAAAACCAGATAACAACGCCTGGTTACTATAGTGGCTGGAAGCACCGGGCTTGCAACAGAGACGCTAAGTGTCCACCATAATCTTGGCGCCGGATTACTAAACCCATCCTACTAAGGGGGGGTGCCCTCCAAAAGTTTCCAGGGGCTTTCTAATCTTTAAGAACTCCCGGCTCAGCTCCCTCTCAGTACTCTAAGCGTCCACCAGGAGGCATTAAACAACCTATGCCCTGCAGGACAGTGGTCGCAAAATGGGTATGGGTCAAATTAAAAACCATCCGGGGACCGCAGGTTTCAGTGCTTGGTTCCATTTGGCTGGGCAACCCATTTTGGGTACCTAGAGTCTCCATGACCCTTTAAAAATGGGTCAATGACCCCATTACTTTGGGTAATGACCCAATCTTTCAAGGGTCATGGAGACTCCAGGTACATCATTTTGACCCACAGCCAAATGGACCCTACGTGTCCCCACCCCCACCGTTGCTGGGCCCTGTGCCACAAGAAGACCTCCTCCCCTTGCCGGTAGTCCCGCTCAGCCGCCTCGACTCGATCTCTCGAGATCGAAGCGGAAGAGCTCACGGAAGTCCCAGGGTCAAAACGACACCCAGAGGCTCCAATTCGACTGATTTAGGGTCTTCAAACAACCTGGTCATTACCCAAAGTGGGGTCATTGACCCATTTTCATTTCGGGTCATGGAGACTCTAGGTGGACGTTTCAGGGACCTAGAGTCTCTTTCTGACCCGAATCAAAAATGGTTGGTCACTACCCCGAAAAGTGGTTGGTCATGGACCTATTTTTGATTAAAGGGTCATGGAGACTCGAGGGACATGCCTAGATAGCCAAGTTGCGATCGCTGTTTTCAGTTGCTGTTGCTGGTTTTTGGGGTAAAGTGCATGGAAAAAAAGAGCAACTCACGATCCAGGTGTTTTCTTTTTTGGATTTAGAGATGTTAACTTGCAGAACCAAGCTGCGGTTGGTGAAATCTTCCCAGAATTCATGAATGGCAGATGCTGTTGTTTATTTCAATAGATGGATTTTGTTGCAGGACAATTCGTGGGCCCTTTGGTTATGGGGCAATTCAGCCCTGTGCATGAACCGTGGACTGGAGCTTTAGGGAAACCTCACTTCGGATTCCCCGCCAAAAGTTCACCTCAGATGCCTGGGGTACAGCCAGGGATTCCGGGAAAGGCTCCAGGATTCAAATGGACCACGGAAAGCCGAATGCGCAAAGCCAGAAACATATCCTTGCATTCGCAGGGGAGTCATCTGCACGAATTGCAATCCGACCCTGAATCGAGGAATGGAGTCGAAATCGAATGCCCGGAACAGTGAATCCCCTATTGCATTACAACCCCATTTGAATCGAGAAATCCCGAAATGGAATGCCCTAAATATTGCAAGAGCACGACCTCATAAATTGTGGAACCCAGGCTTCCCTCGTTACCCCCACCAACGCCATAGTTGCGCGTTTGTTCCCTCGGGGCTGCCGGCACGCAGCAGCACCTGGGTCTCCTGAAGTGTAAGCAAGCTGGCAAAATGGACGCCAGTTTCTGGTGACAAAGGAATAGGGATCACTTCACAACCCTTGGTATGGTAGCCAAAAACATCGCGTTTTTGTTTTGGCAGCCTCCTACTAAACATGAGCCAAGAACAGTGAAGTTGAGTTTTAACCGAGGCAAAGGCTTTCGGATGCCGAAATGGGTCTCAAACAGGCGCATACAGAATGTGCGACCTTACTCTCCACATATGCCATGTGCTCTTTGGGGCTCTGTGCCATGGTCAAGCACCTTGGCTACCCAAGCAAAGGAGTCTGTTGATCAGTGCACATGTGGGCAGTACCCGCAACCCATTGGCATTCGGCTCTACCGACATGGTTGTAAAGGCCTATATACAAGTTATCATACAAGCCTTACCATAACCTTTATGAAAAAAGATCACCCAGACTCCCATGTTGTGGATTTTTGCTCCCCTTTCTTTCTTCGTGTTTTCCTTTTCCTTTTTTTTGGGGGGGGAAGGGGGGGGAAGGGGGGGGAGGGGGAGGGGGGGGGGGGCTGGCGCTGCTCTCAATCCCTTCCTGGCCGCTGATGTTGGCAACAGCGTCCAGCAGCGGCGGAGCCTCACCGAAATTCTCACGGCTGTCGGATCCATCGTGGACGGCGCGAAAAACGTGGGCTCCTAAAATGGTCCAACCCCAACAAGTACCAAAACAACAAACAAAAACACAAAACAAAAACACATGCCGCTAGAATGATCCCACCCCAACAAGTATGTAAGTCCAGGAACTCGGGAAGGAAGAATTTGAATGCGGAAGTTGATAAACCAATCCCAATTCGTCGCGCGGAGTTGTCCAGTATGTCAACCAACCGACTCAACAACTCATCGAACTAATCATCCAGCCAAGCAATCAACCAAACAGGCAATTGATGTTGACCCCAATATTCATCAACCCCGGTTTATCAATAGGGGGATGTTTCCCTCCAAAAGTGATGATTCCCCAATAAAACCAGGGACACCCCGCTAGTAATCAACTGGGGTTGATTAATCGCGTTTTGGCCCTGAGTCCCCGCACTTGCAAAGCATCTGGGTGAGTACCTCGACAGGCCAAAACGATGCTCCGAGCCTGCGAACGAGCACTGGGTCGGGGCAATTGCAAGGCAAAGAGCAAGCAAAAGTAGTGGACGGTTTCCTGAAAAATGAACCGGACACAAGGAATCTTTTAGGAGATTCCTCGGCTGCGTAATCCGTAAGGGTTCCATGCTCATCCATGTTACAAGTTGGGTCGAAACCTCTTCTTATCAGGAAACGATTGCATTGCGGTTTGCCTCACTTTCAGGCCAATATGATACTTGCTAACCTCCAAACGTGCACGCACCATTGGCAGCTTGCTGATTGCTGTGGTCTCCAACTAAATTTGGAGGCCCAAACGCGGGACACATCCCCCCTGTAGTTTGAGGGGGTTCGGCATTCGTTCTCATTCCACTTTTCCAGAGGTGAACTGGGATTTAGTCACCTTTTCGGGATTCGGAGAGATATCCCTGGAATAGAGTCACGTTTTCAGGATCCACCTCAAAATTCCAGGGCTCACCTCCCCCCTCAACTCCATCCGCTCCGCCCCCCCTTTTCCAAGGTCAACCCCCCCCCTCCCCCTCCCCCCCCAAAATCGCGCGGTCCCATCACAGAACTCAGTCAACGCCCCCCTCGCGCGGGAAACCCACGGCACGCCTCCCCCCCCCCCCCGCGGAACTCGAGAACTCGACAGCGCGCACGGAGCCGCAGCAGTTGCAGCGCCATGGGCAGCTCCAGGCGCCGCGCCTCCGACGAAAAATTTCTTGCGGAGGAGGCGTTCCTCGGGGAAATGTTTTTTTTCTTCCAATTCTCGTTCTACCGGGGAGACTGCTTAAAGTGGGTAGTGGGTAGTAAGTGGGTAGTAAGTGGGTAGTAAGTGGGTAGCAAGTGGGTAGTAAGTGGGTAGTAACTGGGTAGTAAGTGGGTAGTAACTGGGTAGTAAGTGGGTAGTAAGTGGGTAGTAAGTGGGTAGTAAGTGGGTAGTAAGTGGGTAAAGTAGCATGTAGTAACCAGGGTTCTAAGCCACACAATTTTTAAGAAGCCATGCCTGGAGTCTCCTTCTGACCCGAATCAAAAATAGGTCCATGACCAACCTGTATTTAGGGTAAAGACCCCATGTGAGTCACAATCAAAACCCGGTATTAAACTGGTAAATCCCCAGAACCATGTAAAGAATAAAGAAGGCGGATGTCCGCCTCTATTTCTGGCTGGGACTGCCCCTTACTAACCTTCATCTTCCCGGGTTTTGATTGTGGCTCATGTCCAGGAGGGATACCTGAACCCTCAAGATTCCACCTGAAACATGGGTGATGGCCCCGATTTTCCGTTGTCAACCAAGAGCACAAACAAGAGCAAAAACAAGAAAGACCCTGTACTTGCGGACTCTCGGAAGACCAAGGATATAATGTGGGTGGACGCAATCCATTTTGAACCAATTGATAGGTTTATCCAATTTGCAGGGCTTCATCTATCCCGGTGCAGGATTTCGCCCACAGTACGTCCAAGAATAGATTCCTTTTAAAGCCAAAGGAGACACATAGTCGACATACTCTTAAGCAAAAGGAAGGAATCGGACAATCTCCGGTCGGGCCGTTGCCGCTTTCCACATATATTGGAATGCTTTAGTCAAACGTCATTGGTTGGTTTTCTTCTGGGGCAATCTGAGCCCTGGTTTTTACACTACAATAAATGGGCCGTTTTGGGCCCAAGATGCTTGGGGTGCTGCTACTCATGTCCTGAGATTAGTCAGTAAAAAAATATTCTCAAAACTTTGAGTCAGGAAACTGGGGAAGTGAGACAAAAAGGGCGCCAAATTATTGGAATGTGGCCGAAAGATACTTTATTACTCAAGCTAGTACTGATCATGGCAGATTCTGTGGCTATACAAAGTGTGTCATCAACTTTGGGGCCTTTGCCGAAGTCATGAAGGAAGTCTATCTCCAAAACGATACACGTTTGTCAACTTTAAAAACTCAGCTGGGTTTGCACATGTGCAAAGTGGGGGGCCTATGGGAGCACTCTGGGAGAGCTCTGGAAGGGAATCCAACAAGCCAACAATGCTTCTCTTTGCCTCTCGTTTGCCTCCCTTAAGTGGATCAATCTAATCGGGAGTGCCAAAAATCGGGGCCAAGCAAAGCAATTTGCGTTGGTTCGGGGCCGGTTTGCGTAGGTTGAACCCACCCTGCCGGGATGTAAAGAACCTCGCAAAGGAAACTTGTGTGAATCTCGAGCACATGAGACTAAGCTCTGAATGATCACTCCCAAGGCTCAAGAAAAGCATCCCGGCGCACATTGAACTCTGGAAACACACAGCCATGCTCGCTAAAATAGTCTGAGCAAAATCTCTTATCCCTTGTGGCTGTCTCAGCTTTTCCCCAGCCAAGCATGTCTTGTTTTAGACTCCGGGCCTCAACTTGTCAAGTAAACAAACTTGAAAAAGTGATGATCAAAACAGCCGGTCTCATTTCCCAGAGGGTCCCAGTACCTTAGGGTCCAAGTACCTTAGGGTCGAAGTACCTTCTAATGAGGTACTCTAAGGACCCCCTTTTGCCCCCCGTTTAAGCCATCCTCATGAGGTACCAAAAAAACCCTCTGGATTTGGAGGGGACAGCTGACGTGCTGTCCATCCTCCGCATGCACGTGCAGCGCTCGCCGAAGCACCACCTCAGCCAGCAACTTGAAGGACGAGGTGTGCCAAGACACACGCGGGAGCCGAGCGGCAAAATGCTGGGGAGTCCTAAGCAGTCCAAATCTTAGAGCTACCCCTTTAAAACAAAAACACGTTAAACAAAACAACAAACTCCCACCAAAACACTCAGTTCCCGGAAAAATCCAAGCTGAAGGCTAATGAAGGCCTGGGCGGCAACGCAACCCGGAATTGGGACAGACTCCTACAACTCACAGCCAAGTATGCAGGGATTGGCAGGGAAGTGGGGAAGGACATGGACCGGTGAGATCCGGCGTCATTCGGAAGGGCAGATCCGGCGACCGTCTCTTTCGGAAGGGCAGAACCCAACTGATGCGTTCAGGTCAATTTAAAGCTCTCCCAAAGCCCAAACAGAAGAGTCTGCCTTGGCAGATTTGCCACACTTGCCATATGCATGGTTTCCTATATATCTAAGCCCGGAGTAAGCAGGTCGTGCGACCATACTACGAGTCATAGTCGAAACCTTACAGTGGCCTACCCGTATGGTACATCAAAAGGTCGGCGTTTCCGCCCCTCTGGTTGGGACTGGGACGGCTCATACTGTGTGAAATCCATGCAACGCACCACTTTGAAGCCATGGTTGAAACCATGACTTCTTGGTATTTTGACAGGGGAATCAACAATCACTCCAGGGTTTCCGAGTCCGGTGGTGCGTTAAGCGAATTCATGGATTTCGAACCACCATCCACACCACTTGGTGCTCACCTAAAAGGCGAGATGTGGCGTAGCGCATCTCTAAGTAAGCACAGGTTGAGGTCGGCCCCAAGTTCAAGTTCGGCCAACCTTACCAGTCTTCTTGGGGTTGATTCCTTGTCCATTCACCAGCCTTCTTCTCAAAAACAGGATCTGCTCCTTCAGGGTTTTGGATGTTTTTGGTCGAAAGAAGGATCCCTGGGTTGAGAATGGCCCAGAAAATCCCTTGATACCTCATGAGGATGCCAAGGGACCCTCTGGGTGAAGGTACCCCTAGAAGTCTATCCCGTTGCCTCGAGGAGCTGGCTCCCAACGACCAGGCAGCCTCTGCGCTTTCCTGGGTCGTCGGGTCGTTGGGAGAGCGGGGGAAGGGGGGGGGGAGTGGGGAGGGTGAAGGGGGGGGAAGGGGGGAGAGGGGGGGAAGGAGAGGGGGGGGAGGGGGGGAAGGGGGGAGGGGGGGGGGGAAGGGGAGGGAGAACGGGGGAAGGTGAACTGTCCGCCCTCCCTGGATGTGGCGGAAGGGGAGGGAGAACGGGGGAAGGTGAACTGTCCGCCCTCCCTGGATGTGGCGGAAACCAGGAAGTTGCCCCTTGTTCGCAAGCACTCTGTTGGCTGTGAGGCTGTTCAGTGGACCGATCATCTAGAAGGGGTGTCTCAAGACTGGGGGCCCTTGCGGTGGGTGGCTTGCATTTGAGTGTGTGTTTTTTACGGGACTCCCTAGAAAATTGTGATTTCCCTTTTGGTGTCCCTTTGCAAACCACAAAAACACAAAACAAACGAGCCACCAATTCAGTGTTCCTTCCAAACCAACCAAAAAATCGCCCCCCTACAGTTAAAAAGCGCCGACAGCTCGCTCGAAAACCAACTAACGCGAAATGGCCAACAGTTCCTTTTGCCGCGTAGCTCCATGACATCAGGGTCCCTGGTGACAGCTAAAGAGCTCAGCTCCTTGGGAAGCTCATTTGCTAGATGTGTTCCAACCAAAAACCTGGCGGAAAGCTTGATGTCGTTTGATCACAATGACCACACAAAGAATGGAAAATCCTCTACTCCCTTTAAGAGAAGTGGGTGGAATCCAGGGAGCAACTGGGCTGACAACCTACTCACTTTCCGTGGGTTGCGTGGCAAAAGTCCATACCTAGAGTCTCTATGACCCTTTAAAACTGGGGTCATTACCCCAAATAATGGGGCCATGGACCTATTGTTAAAGGTAAAGCCTCACCCCGAAAGCTCCGGCCTCTCCAGAAAGCTCCTGCAAGGCCTGCCTCAGCTGCTCAGCCTTCGCGCAGCTACGAAAATGGAGGGCCCTGTTCGATCCCAAAATAAACTGGGAAACCTTTCTCGGAGGGTCCAAGTACCTTCTAGGGAGGTGCTTAGACCCCTTTTTACCCCCCAAAAGCCATCCTCATGAGGTACTTATGACCCTCTGGGTTTGGCCTTGATCTTCCACTGAAACAGCAGCTGCCGTTGCTCGATTTTGATCTTTTTCCAGAGCAACATCAAGAAGGACCCTGTACTTGTGGATGTTCGGAAGACCAAGGTCTGTGATACCAACTGGGACCATGCCCACGACTACTTCCGTCACCAAGGGGATACAATTGCCTATCGCAGAACTGAAATCAACAACCATAAACCCCTAAAATCAACATGCTGAACATGGCCATGGTCAGTTAACAGCCCAGGCTCAGCAGCTCGACCGAGTTGGGGAACAAACATTGTCAATAGCCGCAACTTTCACTTGGAGAGGGGGGCTCTTTGCAGGGCATCCCTGAAAGACGGAAGTGGTGGATGGCAAGTCACCGACTCTGAAATGAAAGGCAAGACGCAACGAAACATTGAGAACCATGAGCAGCGTGAGGGAACCTAACAAGTCGAAAGTTTGGGATTTCCATGAACACAGCCCGCTTTTGCCTATCAAACTCACGGGGACGCATCTCTTCAAGCCACTCGATTTTTTGGATGAGGTGGAGTCGGGGCTGGGGATCAAACCAGATTGGAACCAACCAGATCCCGGAAGCGAAAAAGGAATCTCGACGCCCGTCTTTCAGCTCGAGTGAAACCGTTGGAAACAAACACGTAACGCCTTTCGGAGCTGGCGTAAAGCCTTAAAAAGCTTACGGCCCGAAATCCGTCCCGGGCCAACCATGCCCTTGTGGTTTCATTGGCTTACCAAATCTGAGCTGTCCTCAGATCCGCCGCTAAAAGTTTGGCTTTTAGTGGGCTAAATGGAAAAAAAACCCACTAAACACTAAAAAAGCTGAAAAGCTAAGGGGACGGCTGAGAGCCACCAAGAAACATTTGGAGGACACCAACCCTTTCGAGGGTTCCGAACTCCACTTCTGTTAACAAACTTGCCAGGTCGCGGTGCCGCATCTGAACCACTTCCTTCTAACAAAAGCCAACCCCGCCCCTTGCCCCTCTTTTCGAATAAAAGCAAACCGGGGGAAACAGATTCATTGGGGGGCGGGGGGCGGTCCCTTGCCCCTTTCCCAGGCTCCCCAATAAGCCACTACTTAGGGTCAGAAGGATAAAATTTACTAGTTGGCTTAGAATTGTAAAGCATAGGAAGTCACGACCCAGCATCTCCATATGGAATGAGAACGAATGCTTCATTCACGCTGGCACCCGGGCGGGTAAGCAAAGTCCAGCGCCCCCCTACTCCCGGCCTGCTGTGGCAGGGATTCCACAGTGGTGCCGGCCTGGAGCGCGATGGGAGGCGATCTTTGAGGGGTGTGCATCGTGCGAGTGCCACATTTTGGCTTGAAATTGTTGGGCCCATAATTGATACATCCTGTGGACACTTGATTTGTGGGTGTTTGAACTCTTGCCAGGAGTTTGGCGTTAACATCCTTCCCTGGTTTTTGGGCTTGAACGCGGAAAGTATGAAACCCGTAGTAGTTCTGAAAACCCTTGTTTCTCTGTCAACAACCCAAAGGGTACTATCAGTATATATATATATATATATATATATATATGCGGCCCTGTGCGTAGGAACATCCGCCGGCATGTCGAAATGGCATGTCAAACATGCTCGCGTGCTCTGGTATTCTCAATCGGAATCCCTGCAATGGTTCTCCAAATCTATAAACCCAGAGGCTCCAATTCGATTGATTTAGGGTCTTCAAACAACCTTGTTTTGAGACCCCCAACCACCTCCGGGGTGTCTAATGGAGGGGTCGGGTCTTCCGGAAGGGATGAAAGCTTTGCATCCCACACACGCTAGCATTCCCCCTTTGAAAGCAGAAACCAACGGCTCGCTTGCGGGTCGTGGGTTTCTAGAGTTACACGTAGGGCTCGTTGCCGCAACATTCCATGCCGGAGCTCTTTTTTGTGGTTTGGTTTTGAAGGAAAGCCAAAAGGAACAACACCATTTTGGGGGAAGTGCCCCCTAAGAAGCACACACCCCAATCAGGTTGATCCCGGAGTGCTAAACCTGTCCTATTAACAGGGGGGGTTCCCCTGCAAAAGTGGCGTGAATCCAACCACTAAAAGGAATTGGACACCGGGATGCTCTCAAAATCAACGAAACTTCTGCTTCCTCAAGCCCCAAATCGGAAAGAAACTAACCCAAAGGGTCCCTTGGTACCTCATGAGGAATGCATAAAAGGGGGGCACAAAGGGGTCGTTCAGTACCTCCTTAGCAGGTACCAAGGGACCCTGTGGTTGTTTTACCCGCGAGGTCCAGCAGGAATCTCTGGGGTTCAAACCATCAACACAATGGGGGCTATTTCCACCATCGTTTTTGGAGTTGGTACCATCTTTGTTGTGGTTTTAGAGGGAAACCAAAAGGGAAGACACCATTTTGAGCGGTCCGGTAACAAACGACACCCCCATTGTGTACCTGATTGTCATCATCCAGATTGGGTCCCCTTGGGCCATTCTGTTCATGGGAAGACCTGATGAAGGCTCTTGGCTTCCCGCGAGGATGTCGATCTGCCTGAGCTCAACCCCGGCGGGCCGAAATCTCACTTACCGAGTGGATTGGCCGGCAAAAGGTCTTCCCACACTTCTTGTTAACCACTAAAGAAAATGGTCTTCCCCCAAAAGTTTAAAGTCCAAGAACTCAGTGCCTCAGGGAGTGAGAACTAATTGGGGGTGTGGGGTACTTTAAAACCAACTAAGTAGTGATGGAGAGTAAATTTAAAGTGAGCTAGTCCTTCTTTAGCTCCGTCTGTGGCATGGAAAAACACCACCGAACACTTCGGAGCTTTGGAGCACATGCACCAAAGCGACCAAAGCAAGTCCCCAAGTCTCAGCACAGAAACACGCAAAAAGACGGAGCACTTCGGGTCAGAAGGAGTCCCAGCTTTTGGTGCACAATTTGGGTGCTTCTTTTTCGGGGACCCCCTGACACGGTGGTTCCGTCAAAAAACCAACCAAAAAGGGAGACCTGGAGTCTCCATGAGCCTTAAAAAAAGGGGTCATGACACCAAAAAAGGGGTCATGGACCTATTTGGAGACAAACCTACATGAAAAAACGTCTCAGATCAAATCGTGCCTTATGTACAAAGCTACTTGAAGGAAGCCATTCAACTTCCACACACTACGAAAGGAGGCTTACAGGGTCAGACTGCAGGTACCCTCAACAAAAAAAGACGAGCCGCCCCATGTCTCGTGTTTGGCCTCGCCTCTGCGTAAGCTGCAGCGCCAGAGGCGGCTCCTCCGTTCCCACCGCGGCCAGCCACGCGTCCACGTCCGCGTCCGCGTCGGCGGCGGCTCTTGGCGCCTTCCTGGTGGAGGGAGGGGTTCGGCTGGGTTCCAAGACAGGAAACTCGAGAAATTGTCTGGTTTATTCTAGACATGTTCGGACTTCTTGGAGGTTTTGGTAGGTATGTGATTCCAATGTCCTTGTTTTGGGTAGGAATGTGGTTCCAATGCCCTGTTCCTGAAGCATACCGAGGGGAAGTCTGCAGCTGAAATACTGTTTGGTAGGTATTTGGCCAAATGTAGGTTTTCATGGTTGGTAAATGTTGGTAAGGTTGGGCAAACGACCACCTTTCCCCATCTTGGTACAAGTACGTTGCCACTTACCCCTGTTCCAAGTCCCTGAAGTGGTCCTCGTTTCGAGTCAAGTAATGTTGATCCCGGATCTAAGTAGAACCTGTCCTATTAAAAAGGGGTGCGCCCCCCCTCCACAGTGGTCTGAATCCCCACTAAACCCAGGGACACCCCCCATTTCATAAACTGGGGTTGATTAATCTGCTTGCCTACACCACCAGCTTGCGCCACCTTTCGCACATGGAGTGGTTGCATGCTCACAGAGCGATATGACGCGACCCGAAAGTATGGATAAATAACAGGACAAATGGACAAGTTATAAAGCCCTGACTAAAGCTTAATGTTGACCCCATATTCATCCACCCCAGTTCATAAATAGGGGCACCCCCTATTAATAAACTGGGGTTGATAAATATGGGGTCAACGTGATTCTTCGTGCATTTTTCGGGGTCTCTGGGGCAGCCCTCGCAAGCGCCTCCTCTCCATCAACCCCAGCGCTAGGACCAGGATTCGCTCAGCCTGGCGCTTCTTTGCGATGTGCGTCTTTCCCTCGAGACACGTTAAACGTCGGGTCAAGGAGAGTGACAGGAAAATATATTTGGAAGATTGCACCTGTTTTGACACAGGCAAAGCTTTGTAAGACGCCAGAGCTGCAATCTGTTGGAAGTCCCGGTCCAAAATTATCCATTTGAATAAAGCGATGTGGTTTGTTTGCACTTCCACGTCTGCGACACGTGGCAAGTTAATCATTTGTGATTTGGAGGGAATGCAAACCGTCGAGTTGTTGATCAACTTCCGAAAACCTACACTTGAATCACTTGAATTGGTGTCATTTTTAGGGTTGCTGGCCAGTGGAGGACGGACCCCCGTGGCTTGCCTTCGCAGCCCGAAATGTCGAAGGACAAACTTCGCTCTCAGGACAGAATTGGCAACTGGCCCGGCAACCAGAGCTTTCAGCACTGGAAGGAGTCCGCCAATCTTCATGAAGACAGGGCTTAACGCGGGGCTGGTATGAGCTTAATTCCCACCAATAGTAGTCAGGAGCCCCAGTCCCTAAGAACGCGCAGGAAGCTGTACAGCTCCTTGGTTGGCTTGACGTTGACGTTGCCACAAGCCATTCCATACATACCTTCTGCAACTGGCCCATCGCCCATTTGCTCGCCAACACTTCAGCAACCCAACCACCCACAACAGCATCTTGCAAAGAAAAACTAAACGCACAACTTTGGCTTGGCAGCCCAAAAATATGCAGCACGCCAAATTCCCCCCGTTTTGGGCCGCTCACGGGCCTTGCTTTTAAACCCACCCCACGTGCGCCCCTACGACCGCGCCCGAAGCATCGATCCGCTTCGGCGCCTCGGTGTCAGTGCCGAAGCTGAGAGGGCCTCGGACCCGGAACTGGGACCGGGAGACCCGATTCCTGGCGTCTTTTTGTTGACTCATAGGTTAGGATAAGTCGGTACCAACTTGTTTGTGTCTATTTACCCTTCAAAATTGAGGTCACCCAAAATGAAGAAAACATGACCCCATTTATAAGAAGGGGCAGAAGGAGACTCCAGGTGTGGCTCGAAATTAAACAGGCGGGGGTACGCAGGTTTTGGTCCATGTTTCCACTTAGCAGGGGTCCATTTTGGGTACCGGGCTCTTGAGCCACAGCCGTGTCATTCCGGACCTCCCCACTCTTCGAGGGAGTGGGGATGCCCATTCTAAACGCATTGCTTCGAAGAGGAATGCATCAGCCCATTTTGAGGGACACTCGTTTCTTGGTTCTGTCAAAGTTCAAACAACGAGAGCTCAGCAGAAGCCTTCAGACACCGGAGCCTCTCAAGAAGGCTCCGCCCCCAAGTCCCATAGCTCCTTTGAACGCAACATACCATATACCAGGGCGCAAGCAAGTAGAATCTGAAGTAGGGAAAGGGGCCAACGGATCCTGGGCTGGGACCCGGACCGGGATGTGTAAGTAGTAACAGCTCGAGTTCTTTTCACCATCTCATCGCCCGAGAGTCTTTGTAAACATGCAAACGCAACATTTAGAGCTTTGGCCCCCGAAGGGAAACCGCCAGTCTCCTGAGCCTCAAAAAAGGGGGTCATTGGCCTCCAATGATTGTAGAACCCCATTCAAATGAGTCTTAAGTCAAAATCAAAGCTTGGTACCTGGCTCTTTTTGCTGGGTACCCCTGGTATCAAAATGGCTTAGAACCCTGCAAAGAATCAAAAAGGCGGCGACGGCGCCCATGAAGCTGGGTGTATCCTTTATAAATCTGCCCGAATCGGCTAGCAAGTGGCTCAAATGTTCTACCCTTTGGCTTCCATTTGCTTTAAGCAAACTCGGAAAAAGAAGCATATGTCCAGTAGCCCCTTTCAAACCAGGGACAACTTCTGCAACATATTCTTAAGCAACGGCTTGCAACACGTATTAGACCACGAGGCTATAGAACCTCTTGAAGTCCGCAAATGACAAAATGAAGCAAATTGAACTCCGGAAGGTGATCAATTCTTTCGTGGGACACTCAGATTCGGCTGGCAGATTCGTTTCCCCGGCGAGAAGCCCGGGATCCAGGCGCTCGGCGAGATACTGAGACACCCGCCTCGAAGCCAGGCAGGTATGCCAAGAATGTGGGGACATACTGTTGATGGACCAACAAGTTACCCTTCTCCTTGGCTCAAGTACACAATGAGTAGGACGTTAGTCGTCATCCATGTCAGTGTTAAACATATATCCGTAGGGACAACTCTCTCCCCAAAGAGGAACACAGGCACAGCTGAAGGTCTGGCCGCTCTCAAAGCAAGCATTGGCCAATGAGGCCCGGCCAATTTGCCATTTCCAGGCTGATATGAAGGACCAGGAACTCAGTGTATCTATGTACCTATGTGCGTACATATGTATGTTCAGTGATGTGCAAGCGTGCAACACGTTTGAGAGAAGGCAATATCGACGTGTTTTCAGTCGGCAACCCCAGACTAAGTCCCCAATCCAAAACCAGCTTGCGGTGTTGCGCCTGTGGACATAGAGCTACTGTGGATGAACGAAATCCTGCACCATCTACCAAACCCTAGAATGATGCTTCCCCTGTAAATACCAGCATGCAATTGTTTTTGTTTGCTGTTTTTCTGGTTTCCAAGTGGTGCAGGATTGCGTCCATCCACAGTATGTCTAGATTGCATGGTGCCGCAATCAAATGATGCAAGGCCAATGACGCGAAAGCCATGCTCCAGTGAACGTGGGTGTTGGCCATCATGGGGACTGGGGGGGAGGGAGGGGAGGGGGAGGGAGCCCCTAAAAACCCTTATTCAGCCCTTATTTAGGGCTTGGGCTCCGCAAGGCCAATCACGCGAACTAGGTCCTCCAGTAGAGAGGTTGGAATGAGGGTACCAACTTGTTTCTGTAGTCTATTTTGGTACGGGAACCCTCCCCCAAAAAAGAAACGGTAAAAGGGCACTACTGGGGGACCTAGCGAAGGATGGCTTCAAGAAGCCATGCTCCAGTGAACGTGGGTCTTGCATTGGGGTCTGGACAAGTTGCACACCATACCCGTCCCATTTTGCTCTCCGTTTGGAACAACTCCCAGAAAAACACGGGGGATGGTTGCAGGTTATGAGATATGGCTGTGGGTCAAAACCCTGTACCCCTGGTGAACATCAACATAGGTGGCAAATGGATGTTCATCCACCCCAAAATGGAGCCATTGGTTATGACCCATGACCATATCTATTAATTGCCCAAGCCAAGCAACGGCTGACATCTCACGAATGCCAACCAAGGAAGCACGGGAGGCTCACACAAGTTCCTCGGCCGGATGTCATTTCTGGCCACATCTTCAGGGACATATTTGGCGAGTGTCACTCTCACAGCTTTACCGCTGACTGTTGTCTGGGCCCCCGGGCGCATGCAGACTTTCGTCCGGGCGCAGCAATGCCGATGTTGGAAGCCTGCGGATTCACTTGGGGCAGAGGGAAGCTCACTTTCTGGCCTGAGATTGATGCGTGTGTGTCAATTTTTACAGCTCCCACTAAAACGGTGGGTGTGCTTGTGATTTCCCTTTAAGTTCACAATAATGGGGTATCCCCAAAAAAAACGCCCCCATGTGTCCTTTTGCGAGGGTGCCCGTTGCAGGCAGCTAAAAAACCGATGTGACCCTCTTTTGGACCCCCCTGGAACTTGCCTGAGTGGGGAGAATCTGCTAAACCTACCTAGTGGCCTCAAGCTTCATAAAGTACCTGGACATACCTGGACCCCTACTGTAGATGGACGAAATCCTGCACCACTATTTTAAAACCCTGTAGTACCAGCGAACAATGGTTTTAATTATGGTTTTAATCATGGTTGCGGGATCTGACCCATAAAATGTGGTACAAAGGCAGACAAGAAGTTGGGTCCTTTGAGGGTCCAGGTATACATAAGTGTTCGTCCCGAACTCCCAGGTCGGTGAGGTCGCGTGTCCGTTGGAGTGCAATGATTTCAGGTGGATTTGAAGGGAAACCAAAGGCGGCAAGCCGGTGGCTCGTCTTTTTTGAGGGTGCCCTGTTGCATGGATTTAAATGGACACCAACAGAAACAAACACATCATTTTGGGAGTTCCCTAAAGAAAGACACCTCCAAATCGCTCAGTTTTGGGGTTTCCTTTGGAGACAAACTCAGATCAATTCTCATAGACACACCCACAGTCGGCGGTCACCGGCACAAGGGAGAGGCCCTTGCACCAAAAAGGACTCCTGCTTGCATTTCTGGTCCTCTCTTTGTTTGCCCTCCAGCGAGAAAGAAGGAAAATCCTTTGCAAAAGCCTCCTGTCGCCTAACTTTCTCATGTTTGGAGAGAGGGTCGGGCACCCTTTTAGTTGCTTTAGCGAAGCCGAAGAGAACCACCCATTTTGAGGGTGCCCGCCCCATTTCGACGGAAAAGGCGGCGGGTCACCATCAAAACCTTCAAAAGGTCGGCCCAAAGCATGTGAAGGAACCGAGCGGATGTCCGCTTCGCACTCATTTCTGGCTTGGACTGTTCCTTTTTTCGGACAAAATCCATGGCTCAGGCTCACGGGATCTCCAAGGGCGATGAGGAGGGCTGGGAGGGTTATCCCAAATTCACCCCTTAATCTAGGGGTTGATTCCTTGTCCATTCTTTCCAACAATCGTTCTTTTAAACAACCGGCTGTTTCCCCTGGGTTTTTGCTGGTTTCCTGAAAAGAAGGATCCCTGGAAAGAATGGAAATGGAAGCTACCCCTAGACTTAAGGCGCTTGGGCGCTTGTCCTTATCCAAGGACAAGCCACCCCCCTCCGTGCATGACAGGTGTTGACCCTTACTCCAGCCTGATGACCGGCCGCCCGTAGAACACCCTCTTCTCCAGCACGGCACCGCCCTGCAGAAAAAATTGGCCGGCTGGGTGTGGGTGTGGGTGTGTGTGTGTGTGTGTGTGTCTGTTTGTGTGTGTCTGTTTGAGTGTGTCTGTTTGTCTGTGGGTCTCTGTGAGTCTGTGCGTCTGTGCGTCTGTGTGTCTGTGTCGCTTTGTCTCTGTGTTGTTGTTCATACCAACGAAGGCACATGCCCCCGGCCCACAGATCCTTTTGGAGTCTTCGCAGTCTATCTATCGCCTTCGGGGCCTGCGCAGCTGATGTGTGCAGCTTCGATTCGCACCGCCCCAGGGGTCGCTTGATTTTGTAGCGAAGGTTGAAATTGAGTGGGCGCCAACAAAACCAAGGATCCATATGGCCATGGGTCAAAAGCCCGTACCCCTCCCACTAAAATAGACCAAACTGGGTGGTGCACCTACCCAAAATGGTACCATTGGCTTTCACCCACAGCCATATTGGGACAACCTCTGCATCAGGCTGAAAAGGGAGGCAGGAAGAAGAAGCCGCCATGTACATGTCGCGGCACAGAGATCAAAGCGTACAATCCGCCCAGCTTCGCAATTCGGCGATCTCCTGCAAACCATCGCAAGGCTGGCGACAAAGCGACGTTTGCCAAACCCGAGACTGCAGATGACTTCGCGCTCCTCAAAAGACTTCGGAGCCCCCACTTTGGAGGGGATAGGAAGCGATCCGGCAAGGAGTGAGGCTCTGAGGGTCCCTGTGCGACTCGGTGCGACTCGGTCATGGACCTCCAAGGGGGGCCATGGGAAGGCCGATTTAGAAGGGATCCGGATGAATCCGCAATTCACCTTCAGCCCAAGCCCCTAGCAAGGCCCTTTTGCGTGGGATTGGCGGGAGGCCCCTTTCCCCATAGGTCGGTCCCCTTGGGTCGTGACTGAGAACGCGCGGGGCGCTTTGACTTCCACTTGCAAGTGCCACAGGGCGAAAACCAACAGCGCCTCGAGCCTCCTTTAGATACCACGGTTCTAACATCTTCGGCCGAACCCATTAAACTCTCACTTCCTGAGTGGCCAAAACAAGAATGGTCTACCCAACAAAATCCAACTCCAGGAACCGCTGGAGTGAGAACTCACTCGGTTGCTTTCTGCTCCCCTGCCAAAAGTTTAACTGTTAGTGGATTGATGGAACACCCATTAGTTGGCAAAAAGTTAAAGTCTTAAAATCCAAGCAACATACACCAAAGAGAAGCTGATCGCATCGGCTCAAGTGGCAACGGAAGCTAAGGTCTCGCTCCATGCCGGCAGCCGGATGTCCGGTCGAGACGCGCAGCGCGGTCACTAGTCGCCAACCCCGACGCCTCCGTTCCTGGCAGTCGAATGCTCAAAGTGTCGGGTCAGCTCCAAGGTAACTCCTGCCAAAAGTGAAGAAGCTCGATTGAAGGATCCTCTAAATCAACCCATAAAGATAATGTTTGAGATGATCCCAATGTAGGGACTGGTACCCAGGAAACTTGGGCAATCCCACACCAAAAGCTTGCAAGTGGAGGACTTGCCAAGGGCCTGAGCATTGGTTTTTCATGCAAACAGCTGGTAGGACCGCAAATATAAGAGATGTCGCAACCACTCTTGAGAACCTCCTCCTGCTTGGGGTAGGGGTTTAGTGGAAACCTTACACCCTTGAAGATATGGAGATCTGGGCAAAGCGGAGCTGGGAGCTGAGGCAAAGAGGCGGGGGATGGATGGGCAGATTCCGTTTCCTATCTTCCCGAGCCCGAAAGCATTTACTGGAACTAATTCTCGGGCGAATTCCTTTTTGTTGGGGGGGGGAGATCCCACCAAACAGAAAAAGGATGCGGAGGGTTCTGTTGAACACCCGGGTCTCTGAGTGAGATAAAGCTTTGGGCATGTTAACAAGTTCTTCTCTCCTTCTCAAAGGATGCCTGGAGAACGACGATAGGACCGCGCACAAAGACAAAGAGCTTCTCAGGGAGAAGTCATCAACACATGAGCACAAAGGGGCCTCCGGGAGCAACAAGCAAGAACCAAGTGGTACATCTGGTGCTCGACATCAGTATGTCGACGTCTCGAGTGCGGGCCTTTTCTTGACAAAGCTTCAAGAAAGATGGGCCCTACTGTGGCTGGACCAAGTCCGCTTAAGGTCTCCGAGTAGCGAAGAACCAACCACCAAATCTGAACAAACTCCAACAGCCGTCCGCCCACGGGGCAACAAACACCTCCTGGACGTTCTTCAGAGAAGGACGACGCAGTCACATGGCACATGGATGTGAGACAGGGGAACATGGTCTGAATTGCAGGATCACCCTTCCCCAACTACAAGTTCTACACATACCTCGAGACTTTGCTGGCACAATTCCAAGTAAGAATTCAATTCAGGAGCCCTCTTGGTGGGCATCATTACATGGGAATTCATGTTTGAGGGTGTTCCCCGAACCCTTCAAACAAACACGCAAGCCGTTAAACAGGGTTCCCTACATTTGCGCGTAAAACACCACCCCTTCTAAGGGACAGTCACTTAACGAAGAAACAAACACAAGGTGATGTTTAAGCCCAAAAAATACATATGTATATATTAACTGCATATACATATACATATATATATACATATATATATATATATTAATATATATATTTATGTATATGTATATGTATATTATATATGTATCTGTATGAGTGTTTTTTTTGGTTGGTGTGGGTTTTAAGGGAAGCCAACGGATTCAGCGTGCCCATTTGGAGCTTTGTTCCGAAACGGACCCGGGCGCCTGTAGGTTCCTGCCGCGTACTTTGGCATGTTGGCACCCTTCGGCTCATAGACCTCCACGCTTTGAGCCCCCGAAAGCACCCACCTGGAGTCTCCTTCTGACCCGAAGCAAACATCGGTCCATTATTTAGGGTTAACACCTGGGCTTTGCTCAGCTTCTTCGAAAACCTGTTTGGGGCGCGCCCAAAAAGGATGAGCTTCCTCGAAGGATACGTTTTTTGTTGGGTTTCCGGAAAACAACATATGCGGGGCCATGTGTTTTGGTTTGTTCATCCTAGGGCAAGCAAGTCTCTGGTCCCAAACATTCACCTTGGTCAGTGTCAAAAGTTGACACTGGTGTTTAGGCTTCAGAAACAATGCTAAACGAAGACAACTCACAGTTCCGCTTGGAAGTTGTTCACAAGTCAGCTACCCCCTCCTGTTTCCCCAATTTTAGAGCCGGTCGGAAACTTAGGGGTTGGATCCTAAGAACCAACCACTTAACACATGGGAGGGGAGAACGAGGAGGTATGGCTCGACGTTTCGGATTCATGCGGACGGCCCTAACCCACACCTCCTTCACATATCCTCAAGCTTTCAATGCCCTGGTATGCACCAAACAGATCCAGTGCTACACTCCTTCAGCCGGAGGCTCACAGAAAGGCCTCTGTAAATGAAGCCAAGTTTTCCAGGGAGCTTCCATGTTTGTCTGGAGGAGGGTGTCTACCCCTGACTCCAAATACCCACTTTTTTAGGGTATCATGTCGACCCTCTACTAAAAAAGGAGGCATGTACCTTGAAAAACCAGGTTTGCAAAAAATAACCTAGTAAAAGTGGGTATTTGGAGTAGGGGGTATGTTGAACTTGATTGGCCAGGACAACCAACCGACCGACCGACCAACCAAAGAGGGCACTACAGCTCCTTCCCCGGGGTATGTTGGCAAAACACTTTGTCTTGCAGCTCTCCACAATAAATGAACAGAACCAAAACACCAAAATCAAACCAACACATGGGGCTGCCGTTTCTGGAGTGTCCCTGTGGTGCGTAGTTTTGAAGAATATCAAGAGGACAGCCACTTTTTTGGGGTCCCCTAAACAACACACACCCACATGCCAATAGCAGTGAAGGATGAATTCTCACGGGCTTTCTCCAGAGACGCAATTCGATCACTCCCCGGCCTTGACGTAATCGATGTCGAAATACGCCTAACGCGATTGGAGTTCTGACTCCAAAAGGTTTCCACGGTGTTCACTGGAGGCACCCCAAACCATGGAATCAAGAAAAGATGCGGCCATATCGGGTGGCTGTGAAAAGCGGGTTGGCCAATCGACATCCCTTGGGGACTAGACTGCCTTGGGACAGATTGGTTCAAACACGTTGATGCTTGAAGGATACACTCCACAGGTTTGGAAATGGATGAACGCCACCACAAACCCTCCTTGAGCTCCTTTTGCAGGAATAACCAATTTGGGTGTGTCTGTTTCTCGGGTTCCCCAAAATTGCGGTTCTCCCTTTGGTGTACCACACAAAAAGACACCCCCACTTGAAGTCCCGATATTCCCAGCTGACCAGCACATCCGGCCAAACCCGGTCCATTCTCGGCACTTTTGCAAAAGTGGCAGCGTTCGCAGGTGAACCCCAAAGGGGCATCTTCTAAACTTGCAGGCTCCCTATTTGATGTTTGAGGTGCAACTACACAGTGGCCAACCTGCTTGGGGGGCCTCCATTTACGAACCTGCCCTGGGTTGACTGTGCAAATGGCTGGTTAAACCTTTTGTGGCACCATCCAAACCTGGCTTAAATTTCGCAAACCTGAACGGATGCAAGCAAGGGACCTTCATCCTGAGGCCCGAATCCATGTTTCGCAACCGCGCCTGTGTCGCAAGCGGCTCCTCGGCAGAAGGGTTGGACATGTAGATGGTGCAGCAGTCCTCGCGAATGCAAGATCGGAGGAAATCGGGGCGATACTCGGAACCCCCAAGTCATGGGAACCCCTTGCTTTTGTTTGAGGGTGTCCCCTTTTTGTGGGGAGTTCATCACTTTTGGTGGGACCAACCCCTAATAATAGGACGAGTTTATGGCTATTCTAATCCGGGGTCATCATGAAGGAATCAACATCTAGCGCTGAGAATGATCTCCGTTTGATCTGGTCTTGTTCTCAAAAGTTGGAGCCTTCCTTAAATGGGCTCAACCTGGCTTGGCCAGAACTGTACCCCTTTATCTCAGTCATGCAACATCAACTTTTGGGTTCCTCTTACACGCCTTAAAAGGCGGTCCTGTTGATCCTGCAAGAAACGGAACAGCATTACTCTGCTAAAACCTGATTTCTGGGTCAGGCTGAAAGGAAAAAAAAGATGGCCTTGAAGATTTTCGCCGGCGGTTTCTGACAGATTCCGTGAGAGTGGCACGATTTGAAAGGAAGGTGAAAGAGAAGTCTGAGTCTGGGGGACCTTCAAGATCTTGGAATTGCACTGCTTTGTGGTTTAAGAATCATTCCGGAACGGGTAGTGCCCATAACGCCGAAAATCACCATGGGTATAGTGAGGTCTTCCCCGCAAACACCAAATGTAGAATCCCTACCCCGTGGTATTCCCAGCAACCTCCAGACCCCTCCCATTGAGCCGCTCCGAACCCCTCCGGAGCAGATTTGGGCAGAGAGACCCCATAGCTTTCAGCTATTGGAGCAGAAAGGAGTGGCCAAACAAGCTTCCTCAAAGGAGTGGCCAAAACAAGTCCAAACTTTTATCTACCCCCATCTCCAAATACCCGCCTTTTTTAGGTATCATGTCGACCCTCTACTCAAAAAGAAGGTATTTACCTTGAAAACCCAGGTTTTCCACAAAACACCCTAGAAAAAGGTGGTATTCTCCGGGAGTGAGCCAACCAGGTGCTTTCTTCCCGCTCTCCCCGCTCGCTCCGTCGCCGGCTCAGTGACATGCCCGGGGATGCAGTAGTTCGGAATGAAGCCTCAAAACCCACCCAGAGATTGTCACCCTTCCACCCAACATGGAATCTGACGGCATCTTGGACCAGTTTCACTCTTTACCCAGAGGGTCCTTTGGTACCTTCTAAGGAGGTACCAAACGACCCGTTCTTACACCCCAAAAGCCATCCTCATGAGGTACCAAGTGACCCTCTGGGTTAGAGGGGCAAACGGGGATACAACAGCAAGCTGGGGCTCGTCTTGTGGAGGCCTCGGCAAGAGGATCACATGGGTTTCCAAACGCCTACAAGTTGAGGATTCGGTAGCCCCTGAGGTTTTTGAGGGATCCTTACATTATACACCTGAACATTGCCTTGTAAATGGTGGGTTCCTTTTATTTTGGTGGAAAAAGCCATGTTTCAAATTGCCAGGAAACAGCACGATTTGTTATACCCCAAAAGACATGGACACCTACATTGCTTGCTCGAAAATCTTTGTGGTAAGATGGCTCGTCCCCCAGTCAGGCCTATTCCCAGAGGCTCCCAGTACCTCATGGGAATGGCTTTTGGGGGGTAAAAAGGGGTCGTTTAGTACCTCCATAGAAGGTACCAAGGGACCGTCTGGGATTGCAACCCAAAAGCCCCCGCAAACAAGCCGGGCATGCCTATTATAAGCCAATAACAACTACCTAGAGTCTCCATGACCCGAAATGAAAATAGGTCCATGACCAACCATTATTTAGGGTAATCACCAACCATTTTTGAAGGGCCATAAGGAGACTCTAGGTAGTTTTTATTGGTCTGGATTTTCTCGTTGTGTTTTGGTTTTTTTTCCTGGATGTTCTGTCTTGGAACTGGCAGGTGCGATCTCCCTTGGTTCTGCTTGGTTTGACTCGTTGTGCACAAGCGCTGTCAACATCCCCGGCATCGGTTTAACTCCTCAGCATCACGAGTTGGCTTTGTCAGGCTGGGTTTAGGGTGGGTTCAAGGTTGTCTAGGGTTGGTTCAGGATGGGTTCCAGGCTTGTTTCGGGAAAGTTTGGGGGTGGCTGCGCTTTACGTACTGGGATGGTTCAGTACTGATTTGTGGTGGGCTTCTTGGTGTTGGTTTAGGTTGGGTTTAGGGCTGGTTTAGGGTGGGTTTAGAGTTGGTTTAGGCTGTGGTTGTGTTTAGGTGGGCTTAGGGTGGTTTGGGGTAGGTTCAGGGTGGCTTAGAGATGGTTTAGTTTTGGTTTGGTTTGTTTGGGGGGGGGGGGGTAGGGGGCGGTTGGTGTTGGGTTTGCTTTGGGTTTGTTAAGGGTTGCTGTAGCGTGAGGTTAGAGCGGGTGTAGTTTGGGTTTAGTGCTGGTTTAGGGGGGGTTAGGGATTGGTTTTGGGGGTTGCTTGAGGGTGGGTTTAGTGGGGGGTATAGAGTTTGCTTAGGGGGGGGGTGGTTTAAGGCTTGTTTAGTGCGGACTTAGGGTTTGTTTCGGGTGGGATTAGGATGGGTTTAAGGATTGGCTTAGGGGGTTGGGGGTAGGCTTGGAGTTGGTTTAGGGACAGTCTGTTACTGGTTTAGAGTGGGTTTGCTTAGAAGTTTCTTCAGGGAGTCTTGCTGGTTTAAGGCTTCTTTAGGGTTTCTTTAGGGTTGGCGGGTTGGTTTTAAGGTTGGCTCTAGGCTTAGTGGCGGTTGAAGAGGGTTTAGTGGTGGTTTAGGGTTGGTTTAGGGTGTTTTTGGGGCCAAACAAAGTGTGGGTTTAGCGTGGGCTTGCCTTTTGAGGTCATCACAAACAGCCCTATAACACAGCGGGGGGGGGGGGGAGGTTGGGGAGGTAAGAAGCCACCAACAAAAGTCCAACAAGCCAAAAGCCGGTGATGCTGGGGTGTTACTGGTGATGCTGAGGATGCGGAAAGCCGAAGCCACGAAAAAAGTAAAGGCAAAAAGTGAAAAGCCAAAAAGCCAAAAACCAGAAGCCAAGAAACCAAAAAGCCAAAAAGCCGAAAAGGCCCAGACTCCTTGAAGCCAAAGGCCACAAAGCCAAGAAGCCAAGAAGCCAGAAGGTAAAATCCAGGACAACATCCTAAAGAAAAACGGGAAAAATCAAAATTCAAAAAAAAAACCTCCAGTCTTTATTAAAAAGACCTCGAACGGGGGGACATCTTCACCGAGCTGCCACTTCTTCGGATCGGCTCGGCTCGGATCGGATCGCGCGCCTGTTTTCCGGCAGGACTTGCAGGTCCACCACCTCACTGGCTGCAAGGGGGCAGCCGGCTCCCCACCCCCCCCCCCGCCCGGCAGGCTAGGCCCCAAAGAAAGCAGAAGACTAAACAGAAAATCAGATGTTCAGATTCCGGTTTTACCCGGATCTATTGAGTTCAAGTTTTGGAGACCAACAAGAAGGTATCAAATGTTCAGATTCCAGTTCTAATATATTCAACACAAGTTTTGGAGACCAACTAGGGCAAAGGGATTCTAGCCTATGTATTGAGTTCAAGTTTTGGAGACCAACAAGAAGAGAAGGTCAAAGGCAAAAGTTTGTCGACCGTTTCTTGACTTGCCAAGCGATCCGACTTGGCCTGGAAATTGACACCTGACAGCAGGCGCGAAATCTCTGAGGGCTGGCTTCGCTCTTTTGGACTCAGGCGGTGTGATCCTTTTGACCAGAAAACCACCCACCTGTTCAAATCTTGGTTGCTGTTGACCCCCCTGCAAAAAGTTCAACCTTTTGGGGGTTTAGTGGAAAACCCCTTGATTTCCCCAAAAGTTAAAGTCTAAAGGGCCAACCCAATAGCAGTCAAGAAATGGGCTCCCTTTAAAAGGAAACACACGCAGACATGACTTCTCGGTGTCCGTGTCTTTCGAACGGCGGAGAGGGCTCCATGCCTTGCTGTCAACCAGGATTTGAGCAGACGGAATCAGGGAACGGTTGCGTCCCCCGAAAGTGAGCCATGCCCTTAAAAAATGGGACACCAGCAAGAAAATGGATTTTCAACCAGGAATGTACCGGGTTGGTAATGGGTTTGGAGGGTATAATGTTCACTCCTGAAACCCACCTAGAGTCTCCATGACCCTTTAACAAATGGTTGGTCGTTACCCTAAATAATGGGTCATGGACCTATTTTTACAGGGTCATGGAGACTCTAGGCACATCTTTGCTGTTCATCAGGCTCCTCTAAAATAGTTACCCCTCCAGCTTTGGTTTCCCTTCACAAGTAGCAAACAAGAGAAATCTCTGCATTTTGAGAATAAACTCCACTACTTGCAGACAGGCTGCGCGTTGCCTGCCCAATCGCCGCAGAGTGCGATGTTGATCACGATCTCTTGCGGGTGTGCAATGTCCACCTGCAAGTCGCGAAAGAAAGTTGATGCTAAAAAAACGCGCTCCATTGACTCAAGTGGGTGACCCTAAACGGGCTCCGACGCATGAATTCTAGGATGCTACACACATGATTGTTCTTCGGTGCATGTTGGAACCCGTTGTTGGAACCCCCTAAACAGGTCCCCTGACCCGAATTCAGCGGCCCGCATGACCAAAGTACTTGGCCGACTTGCTCATCTTCACTGCAGCAAGTCCCTTCGGGTGTTGTGCAAAACCACCTCCCACTCTCTGGTGGATTCGTCTGTGCAAGCGGTTCCAGTTCTTGCGAACAGACGTTTTAGGGGACCCCCGCAAAAAATAGATATCATTTTCTGTTTTGATTCCCATTGAAACCACCAAAACACAGGTACCCTCACACAAAAGACACCCTGCACTTGCAAACGTCCTTTTTTCGAGGGTACCTTTTTTTGGGTTGGCCTTTTAAATTGGAAACCAACAGAAAACCACCCCACTTTTGGGGGTCCCCTCATTCTGAACCGACGTCCTAGCCTTTGGCGCTAGTGAGGAACCCATCAGAAGACCCAGATGAAGCAACCTATGCAGACGCCTCCACACGTGATCCGGAGTCCCTCAAGATTGGTTGCGCCCCATCGAGGTCAACCAGAGGTCTAGTGTTGCGCCTGGGTGACATCCAGTCAGGTTGCTCCCCTATCGGGTTTGTAGATTGGTTATTGTGGAAAATGGGCATTCACAAGGTTGCACCCGCTTGTTCCAAGAAAAACCAAAGAAATTCGATTACCCATGTTCTACCCTTGGGTCTTTGTCATCCTGAAGTGTCCTTCCAACCCTTGGTATGGTAGCAAAACACGTTGCTTTTTGCAGCACCCTACTAAAAATGAATATGTATATATATAATACATATATACATATATACATATATTACCGTACACTCAACACATGCCGACAGCAGTAAAGGTCTGACAGCAAAGCGACAAAGACCTCGAGACCCCGGATGGAGAACCCTGACCCCGTTCTAACAGCGAAAATAGGAAGTGGGTCGTACCAATAAAACCACGACTTTGCGGGGATCAATGGCAACCGTCACACCAAAAATGGCCGTGAAATCATGGCCACGGGTACATGCCCCGGCTTCCCCTGGGTCGCGGTGCTGGCTTGGGGGCAAAGGAAACCATCTTCAAGGGTGATTCCCATTATGTTGCGCTGGGTCCATCAAAGTGACATTCTAAAACGAGCCTCGCCATCTCAATGGTGGTTCAAAAGGGTTTCCCAACGCCCAGCATGTTTTTGAGAACGGGTCCCTCAAAATAAAGGTAACCATTTTTGGGAACCCAGTCAATGGCACATTCTTCGTTGCTGGTTGATTCATATGTGTCTCAAACGCATGCCATCACAAAGAGTATACGTACGGGACTTAGTTGGATTTAAGTGTTTCTTTGGGATTCGGTACCCTTTGCAGGTCGGCTTCAAGGGCCCTAAGGAAACCGTCAATTTTTCCCCCCCCCCCCGTCTGCTATTTGGACACATTCCTAGAGGTTTCTCCAAAATATGAAACTATGGAGAAAGAAACAACATGGGGCATGGGTTGTCTTTTTGGTTTTCCCTGATAACCGCCAACCAAAAGAGGTCCGGAACCTCGACACCCCATTTTTTTGGTTTAAAGTGAAACCAAAAGGAACACCACCATTCTGCGTCTTTAAGATGTATTTCAGCTGGAGACCCCCCAAATATAGGCTTTTGCTTTGGCCCGCACTCCTTTACCACAAACCTGGGGTCCGAGACACCTCAGTCGCATTCGAGTTTTGGCCAAGGGACGCAGCTGTCTGGGTCGAATGGCATGAAGGCCATGCGCCACTTCGCAGGCCACTTGTTCCTCACTGAAATCATCGAAAGACAAGCGAACAAAAGGCGCCATGGGAAACCCCGTGAAGGGCAATAAACATGGAAACCTGAAGGATGCGTCAAACAAGGAAAGCTGCAAATTGAACGCCAACAAACCGTGAACAAGGAAACCTGAACATTTGAAAGCCAACTGGAAAGGAACAAGATGTTGTGCTTAAAGAAGTGGGCCGCCACTTGGCCCTCAAAATGAGGATGTTGAGGTGGCAACGGCCCAAAGTCGAGGGGGGCCAACTTTTGGCAGAACGAGCCTCCCAAGAAACAAGAGGCAGATCCGAGTCCTAGCGCATCCTCAGCGAAAAACAACACAAAACAAGAACCAAGCACTCCAAACCACCGAAGAGAACAAACCAAAACATACATCCGCCAACACCCAAGCAAACCAGCAAACAAGCAACTAGCCGAGAAAACATGCACAACACACAGGTCAAGGGAGTTTCCTTTAACCCTTGTGTGCCATGGTCAAGCCTGCCGTTCTCTCCGTCGCATTGCTCGTTCTGGGCTATGACCATCCAGTCCGGAGGAGCAAAGTTCAATCGGCCCAGCCAAATTTGAGATCAGCCTTTGCCTTAAACTGACTGGTCTACACCAAAACCAATTCACAACCGAATAAAAAGGACGGTGTACGGTAAAGCTGTGCTTTCGTCTGTTAAAACCTGGCCAGACTCCGGAGAACGCGGCCGAATCGGGCGGCTCTAGTTGAAGAGCCCGGTTCCTTGTGCGAACTTCGATCATCTGAAGGACAACTCTGGGGTAGTTGCCCTTTTAGCAAGGAACAATTCGCCGGGCTCCTTTCGTAGGCCTTTGTTCGGACTGTTCTTTTCGCACTTTTTCCAGAGTTCAACATCATGTCCCACCCAAAGCCTGGAAGCTTCCAAAGGGGAACCTCCATTTGGTGAGATCGATCCACGCCTTTCGCATTCCGAGGCACGGCGTGGGCGCATCGTTCTGGAGATCCGCTGGGATCTCCGCCTGAACAAAACCACGGACATGAAATGACACCACGGTCGTTGGTAATTACTGTGGACGGACGAAATCCATTTCGCACCACTTTGAAACCATGGGCAACCATTGTTTGTTGGTATTTACAGGGGAATCATCATTCTAGGGTTTCTTGGGTGGTGCAGGAATTCGTCCATCCACAGTAGTTACTTGCTGGTGCTTGCGTGGCCCATGGAAAATGTGTTCCCTGAAGAGTGGCTGTCTAAAACTCTATAAGGGGTTGATACCATCCTTTTAAGGTCTTGGTTTCTCTTTAGAACCACAAAAAAAGGTACCCTCAAAAGAAGGCAGACCATGTAAACCCAGGCCCAGCAGTGTTCGCAGTGAGGGGCGGCTTGCCAAATCGATGCTTGGTTTAAGTCTTTACGGGAATGCAGGGCTGGGCAAGGCATAGTACGTCAGGGGTCTGGATTGTCTTTCTGTCCTTTCCGTCCTTTCTTGCCCATGTGAGTTTCCTTTTGGATCAAAACCTGATGGAATGAGCCCCCCTGATAGATTCCGGCTCATGCCCAAGCGCCCCCAAAACCAAAACAACAACTCCCCGAGAATTAGGAAAGGGCTCTGCAGCGCGGCGATGGGAGCGCGTCGTCAGCGCGCCTCGGGGATGTGAAAGGTGGTGATGCCGCTGGCGTCCCACACAGTCACCAGCACCCCAGGGTTCTTGCTATACCTCGGCTTCCCTGAGCCCAAGGTTAGGACCGTCAGCATAGGCGTTGGGAAATAGATGGAGTTCCCTGGTGGATGATTAAACCACCAGGTAAACCAGGGCCATCTATGTTCCTACCATTTTTTTAAAAAAAAATTCTAGGTCCTCCAGTAGAGAGGTTAGAATAAGGGCACCAACCTTTTTCCGTCGTCTATTTTAGTAGAGGAACCCAAAAAAGGGAAAAAGGCACTACTGGGTAGGACCGTTGGGAGTGGGGAAACCCAGTTGGCCACCAGACCCAGCGGTTCTTGTGGCCAAATTCCATCCAGCAATCCAAACCACCAATTAATTAGGGCTGGATAAATACCAACTCAAGGACACTCTTCCCTGCCTTGAGTTTTGCCTTGGTGTCCTTGCAAGGCGTGTCAAAAGGGCATTCCCACTTGTTGCCCCGCAGCTGGACATAAACCTGGACCACGCATTCGAAAGCCGGCGAGATGTACGTGGTACTTGGGTTTGTCTCAAAATAGGGCAACGTGCCCACCCCCCCCCCCCCACAAAAAAAATGGTTTCCTTTTGAGGTTTCCATTTTAAAACAACCCGTTTCAAGACCCCCATTCGGATTTGGGGGGTGGGTGGGTCATAGGAGACCCTATTGACGACCAAACCATACCTAGCCAGGGTCCCTTGCTTGCGAGCAATTTTTCCGGGTGCTACCAACAGATCTGGTAGTTTCCGATCAGTCACCAGTTGGGTGTTTCTCATTTTTTGAGGGGACTCCCTCAAGTGGCAACGGTTGTCTTTTGGTTCTCCCTTGAACCCCCAAAAGAGAACCGGTTTCCTAAGAAATGGTCGCAGAGTGTGGTGCTTCTTGTACAACGCGGGAACTGCAAACAGGTGGCTTCTACACTTCCGGGTCGCTTGATTTCCCCAAACAAATCATGTAAAATGTCAAACACCATTGCCTGCTTGTGGTAAATCATCCGTTCTGTGATGCCGAGTGGTTGATTCCCACGACTACTTGAACCCACTTTCAACGGGACACTCCAGGATTCACTAGCAACTGACCTGAAAGTAACATTTCTTTTAAGGGTATATATCCCTTTTCACCTTGCAATGGGAACCCACGCGGAAACACCTCGATGGGGACTCCCCCCATTCTGAGGGTACCACTTTGTTGCAGGAAACCCAAAGAAAAACACAATTTTGGGGGGTTCGCTAAAAACGACAACCCCTCCAACCGTCGCTTTGCACTCGGCGCCGAGGTCTTTTTCGCACCGCGCGATCTTTTCTGCGGCACCTGCAGGCAAACATTGTGCTTCGGTTCTGGTTTGGCCCACACGGACCATAAACTTCAGCTTTTGTGTGATTGGTTCTTTGGATTTTGGTGAATTTACCCTCTCCAAGATGGTTTTGATTCTGGTGAGTTTGGTGAATTGGTGGTTTTGATTTTGGTGGATTTTGGTGGTTTAGAGCAGTTTCCCATTTGCCCTCTACAAGAACGAGGGGATCAAATCCCCAAACCACCAATCCAAACCACCAATTAAGGGTTCCCTGAAGGGTTTCCCATTTGGCCGTGGCTAAAAAAATACATGTACCAAAAAGGCACCCTTAGTAAATGGAACCAAAGACTACCTGCGTAACCCTAGCTTGTTAATTTTGAGCCACGCCCATTTACCCTCTACAAGAACCAGGGGTTCAAATCCCCAAACCACCAATCCAAACCACCAATTAAGGGTTACCTGAAGGCTGGAAGAACGGAATCCCAAAAATTCGGGAACACCTTCAGGGGTTCAGGAACAGCACATTGGGCGAACAACTTCGCGCTGTCCATGTTTATGAGCGACTTGTTGTTCCAACATTGCACTGGGCATGTGGGAGGTTTCTATCTTTCAGCCAGGCCTCTGAGCACTGTCTCGTGGGTTGCTCTTGAAATACGGCTACCCCAAAATGGCGCCCTTCCTCCTGGTTTCCCACTAAATCCAACCAAGAAATCTCAGCTTATCTAAACAATCGGCTTCCCTCTAATTGGTTCGGAGAGGGGATGGTTTCCCTTTACCTTGAACAAGAAATCCCCAAACCACCTGGTAATCAAGCAGGGATAACGCATGGACCAACACCACCTTCTTGCACGAACCTATAGCATGCATGCTGCAGCAGGTGTCTAACACCTATCGTACTTCTAACAAACACTGGTGCGTGTGGATACGAGGCCCGATGACGATAACGGTCGTCTGCCAAATTGTGCCTGGCAACTTCCATGACTCTGTAACACATGGAAGGGCATCACGGTTGTTGGAAAGCAGGTGTTGCTCCTTTGCGGAACCGAGCAGTGGTGGCATCACATTGCTTCTCTGTGTCATATGTTTTTAATCTGGAGGACCCTACCAGTCAGGAGGACCCCCCCCTCTGATTAGTACGGTCCTCGAGACTGATCCGAAGTTAACATTCCTTCTCTCGGTCTTTTTTTTTTGTGCAGGTACCCTGTTTGATTGATTCTTAAAGGGACACCAAGAGGAAAACCAAAATCCTTCTGGGCCCCCCTAATTTGGGTGTTCGAGGAGAAACCAAACTAACAGCACCATTCTTAATGGGACCAAGAGGAAAACCACCTTTCTGGGGGTCCCCCTACTGTGGATGGACGAAATCCTGCACCATCCAAAAATACATTGGAATGATCATTCCCCAGAAAATACCAACAAACAATGGTTTCCCATGGTTTCAAAGTAGTGCGAAACTCCCAACCCTCCCCAATGGCTCGCGCCTCCATCCCTCACGCCGCCGCGCCCGCGCCCGCCGCGTCGGCCGTCTCCGCGGCGGCCGCGGGGGCGGCCGCTTTGGGCTTCGGGGCGACCTGGCGGTTTGGGTTTGCAAGTCGATGGAAGCTTTGTGATACCTGACAGGAACACCATGAAAGGAAGAAGATATGAAAATCAACTCAATATATCCATATACACACACTATATATATACATACAGCGCGAGCACTGTTTAAGAAAACACTGGAGAAGAATTTGAGGGGCTGGACCCAGAGTTTCAGCCATTTTGTTATATTACCCGAGTCGTGACAACCTTAAGAATTTGAGGGCCCCCCGTCTTCAGGCCCAAATTCTTAATTCCATCCATTCTTGATGTAGCTAACAAACGCATCCTCATTTTCTCAGGAGCAAGCAGCGTTGTCTTTGTCAAGCATCAAGATCCAAGCACTCCAGGCTCAAAGTCATCTTGCCTTTGCTTGTCACCACAACAGCTTTGCCGTCGTGAACCGACTCTACAATGCCGGATTCAGGCATGCAATTAGCCAGCGTTACCTCCCAATTTGTCTTGACACGTTTGCAAACCAGTGGATGAGGCGGATGGAGGAAACAGAGGCTTGGCCGGCCGTTTCTTTCTGGGCTTCTTCTTGGGCTTTGCTTTGGACGGCAGCGCTTTTGCCTCTTGCTTAGCAGAAGACGAGCTGCTGGAAGACGTACTGCTGCTGCGGCTGGAAGATGAGCTGCCAGTTCCAGCAGCTTCTCCATGCTGTGCCACTGACTCCACTCTATCTGCTCCAGCGTAGATTGTTCTTGCCGTGCTTTTCCACAGTGGGCCAAGCTTTTGCCCAGCCGGGAAAGGCTTGTATTTGCCGTCCAAGCCTTCTACCTGGATCAAATCATCTCCAGAGCCATTCAAAGTCAGAAGGCAGCCACCCTCCTCAAAGAAGCGACGCCTGCCGCGGGCAAACTTCATCTCATTGAAGGCCTCGCCAACCAGCTGTGTAAGCAAAATGCGTTCACTGCGCGCCTGACCGGAGGGTTGCTAAGAATTTGAGGGTTGCTAAGAATTTGAAGGTTGCTAAGAATTCGAGGGTCCTTAAGAATTTGAGGGTTGCACACCTCACTCGCCAACGCAAGGCCTCCATGTTGCCATCTTCGAAATCTTGAGCAGCTTCTGAGTGGGCGTCTAAGTAGTTTTCAAGCCCAATAAAAACGAGCTTCTTGGCACCAAAAAGCACTCAACACCCTTGCCCTGCAGTGTCCACAAGCACTCCGGCCCGGAAGATGGCCGCGGCCGGTGGCGAAAGAAACCCGCCAGCAGCGGGAATTGAACGAGCCATCCCGAGCCTTCAAACTGCGAGGGAACAAACAATTAACAATGAACCCGCTCAAGCAAGTTAAGAAACTGCAAAGAAATTGAGGGACCCTGGAGCAAAAACACCGTGCTGCATGTTGAACTTGAAGTTAAGAATTTGAGGGTCCCTGGGTTTGGCGGGCCCGGATTCTTATGCAACGCTTGGACTGTGTATATATATATATATATATATGTATACTTTATGAATATACCTAGAGTCTCCTTCTAACCCTTTAAACATGGTTGGTCATTACCCTAAATAATGGTTGGTCATGGACCTATTTTTAGTCATGGAGACTCCAGGTATAGCCGGGATGAACCCATTACTAGGTCCTCCAGTAAAGGTTGGTTGGATACCCGATTCTTTGGTGGTACCCGATTCTTTGTCTGTAGTCTGTTTTAGGGGAACCCTCCCAATCAAAAAGGGGTGAGAAAGGGCACTACTGGGGGACCCAGCATTACTGTATTACCCAACCCACCATAACCCGGGATTACAGCAGTAAACCCCGTTTAGTAGGGAACATACAAGGTGGGTTTGACTATGGACCCGGCTAATATTGACCCAATACTAATCAGCCCCGGTTTTTTCATCCTCCAATAGTGAGGATTCCCCCGAAATTTCCCTGGGCTGTCCGTTTTTTGATCCCTTTTCTGCTTTGGGACCTTTCACGTTGATTTTCTTGGGGGCCCAGTTTATTAAAAGGGTATCCCTGGGTTTAGTGGCGAATCAACACTATTGGAGGGGAATACCCGCCAATTAATAAACTGGGCAGGGTGTAAAGAAGGCATGGGTGGTGTCCACGGCCGGAAGGCTTGATTAATATGGGGTCAACACCAGTGTCTCCCCTTTCTCCCCATGGTCGTTTTGAATTTTGGGTCCAAGTCTTGTTGCCAAACTTCCGAACGAAAAGTATC